GCCCCTAAGTAGTATGGCTGCTGTCTACACAAGGTGCAGCTGCTATGAAATAGCCAGTGGTTCTGAGGCCTCTCTGCATCCTTTCTTCTAATTCAAGGCACCAGTATCCAAAGAATCTTTTTTCCTTAGACCATTCTTTTGCTACTAGATGATAGCTCTGAGGATAGAGAACAAGGCTGATGGTTCTTTTTATTCTAATAATTTCGTTAAAGTAAAACCACCGTATTAAATATTGTCTCTAGCTAAAAGTACTATTTGGATTTTGTTTACTGGTTTGACTCTTCTTTATAGATGTGTATATTTTTACACTAAATGTAATGGAATTAACCCCACACTGGAGATTGGGCTTTAAGTTACTATATCTCACAGTATGAGGGGAGAGTATATCTCACAGTATGAGGGGAGAGGGATATGGAGGGAAAGGGACAAGGAGAAAATGAAAGGGTCAGAATAAGAGAGAGAAGCATAGATACAGGAGAAACAGAGGGAGAGGGAGATGGAAAGACCAAAGGAGAGAGAGAAACAGAAAGAGGGATGGGAGAGAGAGAATGAGGGGGAAGGAAGAATGAATGAGCAAATGCTTGTGTCCAATTGAGGCAATGTCTAGGAGGCAATGTCTAGAACATTTCCCAATGTTCCTCCTAATTGTTGGGAAATCACATCCAAGGAGAGTGGCCCACATCCCACATAGTGGCTCCATCTTGTAGTACAGGGAGGGCCTTCCTTGGTGCCCCTGACCAGTTCTAAGTTATGTTCTTTTGCTTTCCCCCAAGGGATTTTTCTGCAAAGAAGAAAAAGACTTTGATAACTGGTGTAGTCTTGTTCAAAAGGTAAAGATATATGTTTTTCTTAATCTTAAAAACGAAAGTTATTCAACGTGATTCATTTTCAAGACTTTTTCATAATAACCTAAACCTAGCCTGATATGACTCTACTGCAAGAGAAAGAAACTCAGATGTGGTAAATTGCATATAACTTTGGGGAACCAAAGAAAATTTTTTGTTAGAAATCTGCTTAGTAAGCCAAGTAAGTGATATTTTTAGCTTCTTCAAGTTTTATCTCATTAAGCCTACAAGTCATGAAATATTTAACTAATATTCTACCATTTAACCTAAAAATGCCAATTTCATATAGCTCAGCCTAAGTTTTTTTAATCTGTTCAGAACACTGAGATGATTGAAGAAACTGATTTACTTTGCTATTTATTTAGGTTAATGTACTGTATTCCATTTACAGTTTAATGTACTGTATTATTATGGTTTAGGGGACTTGCCTTTCTATTCACTGTCTTATTTATATAAAATATAGGCATGCTGCTACTTAAAGGAAAGACAATTTGGAGAAATCTGTGTAAATACTAAAGCAAGCTATTATTTTTTTAATATTTTGTGTAAAAGAGTAGTTATTGTTTTGCTGGATCACCAATCTTTGTATGTGCCTCCCTCATTCTCAGCTTCTAACACATGCCAAATATGTGAAAGACATTGATAAACGCTTATTGAAAAAAATGAAGGGAGGTCATAGGGCAGTGATGGCGAACCTATGACACCCGTGTCAGAGGTGACACGCGAACTCATTTTTTTGGTTGATTTTTCTTTGTTAAATGGAATTTAAATATATAAAATAAATATCAAAAATATAAGTCTTTGTTTTACTATGGTTGCAAATATAAAAAAATTTCTATATGTGACACGGCACCAGAGTTAAGTTAGGGTTTTTCAAAATGCTGACACGCAGAGCTCAAAAGGTTCACCATCACTGTCATAGGGAGTAGTTCAAAGGGCCCTGGATGGGATAGCAGGAGACACAATGTTCTCCTATTTGCAAAACAAAGAGATTGGAGCCCAGAGCCTCTTGTAGGTGTAAGGAGGGAAGATTTTTCTTCACAAGTAAACAAATAATTAATACGAATGTCCCTAGCTGAATCTAAAACCCCAGTTAATAGTTAGCTGAGACATAATGGATACTTATTGTCTAAAAGCAATACTTATATTTCAGGATGCAGCAAAACTATATTTATATCACATTTAAAATTAGAAGAAAAATTTTCTGATAAGACTGTGCCATTTAAATTAGGACATATACTGTAAGTGTTGGACTAAATGGAAACCATGCCGATATGTACCAGTATTTCTCTTGGGGCAGATTTTATTTGATTAACCAACATTTCTTTGGAGCCAACACTTCAGGAACATCTCGCCCCTAAATTGAGTTGAGTCCATGCAACTGGCATATGACCTGAACCTCATGATGGAGTTTGGGCAGTGAGTACTGGCCTTCTATCAGATACTCCCTCCATTGGCCTTCCCTCCTGGCCAACAGGTTTAGAATTGAAGAGGGCTGGGTCTTTAGATGGGTCAAATAGAGGATGGGAATATTTGCTAGTTCTTTGCTTTCACCTTTCAACAATCAGGCTACTCTCTTGGGGCTTTGGGTCATAGATTGCCAATTGGACAGAAATATAGTGACTGCAGTGTTTATAACTGCTTCTATGTCTCCTCAGGAAATTCTAAAAGAAAACTTAAGGATGTTTGAATTAGTTCAGAAACATCCATCGCACTGGCCTCCCTTTGTACCTCCAGCCAAACCAGAGGTAACAACCACTGGGGCAGGTAAGTGGTTGTTCAGGGGCCCTTCAGCCAGCAGACCCACGTGTAGCAATTGGTTTATGAGATATAAGCAATCATCTGGACCAATCAAGGAATGGTGCTTCTGATTATTTAAATCCTCTGATGAACTGATACTGATGTCAAAGAATGATAATAGCAGAAAATGAGCTTAGTGCAAAAGTTCCATATAAAATCAAAATGACTAGACATTTTTTTTTCATAGTCTGGTTCAGAATAACAAATCAGAGGCCATGGGTGAGTCAACAGGTGCCTCCAAGTTCTTACAGAACCTCCTTATCACGTGAATAGGACTATGTAATAAGTCTGGTTATTTTGATTCTTTAGAGAGAATTTCTAATAGTTGGCAGTGGTCTTATCTGTAAGTCTCCTCCACAAAAGCTTTTCTTTAGAAAAACAATTTAAAAATGCATAGTCTTCTCTACTGAGTAATGTATTGACTGTTTTAACTTAAGCATCAAGCTTTTCTTCTTTCTCATTTTTGTATTCTCACAGAATTCATTGACTCTACTGAACAACTAGAGGAGTTTGACTTGGAGGAAGATTTCGAGATTCTGAGTGTATAAAATAGTAGGAACTCAACCTTAAGATTTGTCTTCCATCTGGCACCAGAAGAACATGAACTCATTACATAAAACTTTTGTAGTCAGCAAGTGCCTGTTATGCCAACAGCATACAAACTTGATAGCAATCAATCATGACTGAGCCAATCACCGCTTCTCAGAAAAAACATTTAACAATCCTCTCCCAGAAAGAACTAAAACAATCATGGGATCTAAGACAGAAAGATTAGGAGCCATTCTTTGCTTCTCAGCTTGTCTTACTTGGCCATAGTGACTCTGCCACTACTGAAATGAGGAGGTGGACTTCTGGAAGATAGACAGCAACTCCCACCTTGCTTCAAGCACCAGCAGATGAGAAATGGTTACCCGTGCTTCCGCACCCTTTTAGGTGTGACCTCTTTTGGGCTAAATACTAAGAAGCAGTCTGTTCTTTTGCTCTAATAATAAAGTGATTACACCAGGGAGAAAAAGCTCTTGTTAAATTATTTGAATATGTATTTTAATTAATTATAATTAATATCAAAAAGTTTGTCTAAGAAATTATGTCAGATGTGGACTTATTGATCTCCTGACTCTTTGGGAGAACCTTACTAGTTGATGGGTCACTGTTCCCTTCTTTACTGATACTTTTGTCAGACATCACCCTGTCCTTAAATGAAATCATGATCACTTAGGTCAAGGGTCAGCAAACTTTTTCTGTAAAGGCCAGATAGTAAATGTTCCAGGCTTTGTAGGCCATGTTGTCTCTGTCTCAGCTACTTACTAGTAACTGTGCTGTTGGAAGTACAAAAGCAGCCATAGACAATCTGAGCCTGGCTGTAAACCAATAAAACTATATTTAGAAAAATAGGTGGATGGCAAATTTAACCTACAGTCTGTAGTTTGCCAATCACTGACTTAAAATGTTGATTTTTGTTTGGGAAATTAAAAAATCATGTTTGAATTAGACTCCATTTTGTTTGACAGCCTTATTAGAAAGAATTATTCATGTGGTCACCTTTAATCTGTGTATCATATACAATTCCAAACCTTTTAAGGACTAGCAACATACTAAATTTTAAAGCACATTTTCCTATTGTCTTTGCCACCAACTCTCCTTTGTGGTTGCACCTCAAGTCCCAGCGGTGTCTTCCCCGTTTCTTCTTGCCCTCTTAACCTGTATGCATTTCACTTGCATCTCAACCAAGTTGTGAGGAAGGCCAGCAACTGGGGTTTGAAAGCTAGCATCAAGCCAAGGTGTGTTTCTTGTATATTTAGAAGTATTATAACACTTGTTTCCTTAGATTCCAAATTTTCCTCTTTTTTTCCCCAGTAGGTAATATATTCCAGTGGTTCAAAATTCAAAATATTCAAAATGGTATTCAGTGAAATGTCTCTTCCTCCCAAGTGTTAGTTCCGTTCCCTGATGCTCCTGTTGTTATTAATTTTTATCTTTCCAATGGATATATTTTATACTATACAAATAGATGCATATATATCTTAGATTTGATTTTAACAACGTTAGCATTTCTCTACTGTTGATTTATTTGAAAATGATCCTGAGGTACCAGAAGTATGTGAACTCCTTTCTTGAACTCTAGCATGGGACTAAAAGCAGTTATAGGCTTATTTGAAACAGGTTTTGGGTTTATTGCCTGTTAGAGGACTCTTTCTGTTCTTTGACTTTAATTGTATTTTTTCCTGTCTCAATGTTTTGTTATAAAGCTCAATTTGTAGTAACAGGAGCCCCCATGGCTCCAAGGGAGACTCATTAATTGTAGTGAGATGGACTTTAGAAAAGTTTTCATCAAAGAACATCAAGAGTCAATTGTTCATGCTAAATTCCTTTTATTTGCGATGTACAGAGCTGACAACCATGTTTTTTACTCAGAGAGGAGGTGAAGATAACAATAATTCAGATTATACCAATTATGTTTTGTTTAAGTTGGCACAGTTTACATAATATTTAAGGAAACAGAATCATCTGGAAGGAATTGCCTCATGTCAACATATCTAAGTGTTCTGGGAAACTGATAAAATGGTTAAAACAAATCCCCCAAACAGAACACAATACACTTTATAGTTGACTCAGGCTTGCTTTAGGTCTGCTAACTGCTAAAGAGAGGAGTTTGTTAGATTTTTATGAGGTTTTAAAAATATTAAAATAGCTTAACAGGCTACCTGTAAAAGAGCAATTGGAAGGACATTTTAATGGAAAGTCTCTTACAGTCTCAAAATGCAAAGGAATCAATAAACTGCAGCTTCAGTTTGCCACATTACACACATCTGGATAGCATTTGGATGAAACCGGGACTTCTGAGAAATTGGGACAAGGGATTTACCTTTTTGCTCCTGGAGTCAAAAGTAAAATTCACACCTCCTTACCCACCCACCCTTCTACCCACGGCCTGGGAGAAAGGGCCGTGGTTCTCATTTCCCTTTATGGGCCTGGCCACATTTGGTGCATCCTCCACTCTGCTCTGGACCCGGCCAAGTAATACTGGTAGGTCTCGGCCTGGAGAGGGAGTTGGCAAGAAGGATGTGATTTGTCTAGGACCATATGAAGTTAATGAGTCCTTCTTGGCTTCTGGCCTTCAAACCTCCCTAAGCAATATGGGGTCCAGTCGTGCTTACTCTCGAAGGAGTCAAAGCTCATCCTATTCTACTGGCTGGCACCTCATTCTATCTCTGCTGCCTGCCTAGACACAGTGGGTTTTCTTGAAGGGTGAAGGCTTGCTCTATGCAGGCCTGAGTCATCCATGAATACTTAGCCAGGTATATATTTTTTTTCATGTGGAAACACTTGGTTCTGGTTTAAGCCAAATAATGTGTGGTGACCTCTGGACATAAAGAAATGACTTATCAGTTATTATAGAACCACTTTGTGATCAAGATGGTGAGGAAAGCTAGCAGCTTTCTAAGAAACTGGCAGCCCAGCAGGTCTTTCTGAGGTCACGCAAATATCCGAATCAAACAGTAGTGCCAGGTTGACTGAAATGGGACAGCAGATCTCAGCAGGGTGGGCTCACCCATTAGGCCTGAGGGTTGGGGTGACCAGTATCCAGTAGTCCAGCCCAAATGAGACTCCAATGTACAACTTTTCAGATAGGAAAATGGGCTTAGGCCTTTCTTCTTCGGATGGTTTGGGTTTGTGAGGTGACTGTTCTATGGAGGAACGGACAGCAAGGGGCAGAATGGCAGGGGCCACCCTACAGGCTTTTCATACACACCTGGCAGCGGCTTACTCGTGTGTGGAGCTGCCCAGCTTTCAATGTTTCTGGTACAGGTTCCTCCCCAAACTGCTGCTTCTCCTCCACTGTTGTCAGCCAGAAACTGTACTTGTTGGCAAAGTAGTGGCAGGTACCCCGGGCACCACTGCACTCAATGAAAGGAGTGGCTCGAAAATCCTCTAAGCAGGAGCCAGGTGAGACGAGGGACTGGCCTCCACCCTCGGTGCCAGCGGCAGTGTGCTGAAACAGACAGGGGTGAAGTGTGAGCTGGGCCCATGGGAGATGATGGACACTCTGCTGCTCCAGGAGGAACATGTGCTTCCTTTTTCAACTCAGGCCCCTTGGCTCATCCCTAATGTCTAGCCAGCAGACCAAAGGCTGTATTTCTGGACCTAGGCTGCTCATCCTCCTTTGTAGTAGCCTCAGGGCCAGTAGATCCTTCCAAGATTCCTGGTGTCCACCCAACCCACTGCGCATGGGCTGCGACCACATCTCAGCCAGTTTCCCAAACTGCTGCTGCCCCACAGAGTTCTGAGGGGTGCTCAGTGTGTCCCCCCTCCCCCAATTCCATGAGCAAATAAGTATTAGGCTAAATTAAGGAAAAAATCAATAGGTTTTGGAATGCAGTTCTCAGAGCCTGTCTACTTCAAGCCCCAGGTGGTGTACACCAAGAAGGAAAAAAGCATGCAATACTCCACAAAGTGGTTAAACCATTGGTCCCTCCCCCAACATATCTATTAATAGCTCTGAATTTACCTTCATTAGAACTTATATTTTCAATCTGTACCACAACCTTTAGAGCGAGATATTGTTTTTGTTACCTGCTATGTACATGTAGGCCTCAGATTTAGCCTAATATTCTGGCCCTCACTTCAGGAAGCTCCTGCAGCACTCAGTTCCAGGATTTCCTCATCAGTGTCACTCATGAGGCAATAATCTTTGGTCACAATATCTATAGACAAAAGACCCTCTCTCCGTCACTTCAGCTGGGTTATTATCTGGACCACATGAGGTGGGGAGGCCTCATACAAACCCAGGTCAGGAAATGGCCAATGGGACAGATGCCCAGGTTGGACACACAATAACACATTACTTTGCAGAACTTTGGGGAAGTGTGTCTCCATAAAAATGACCTTTCCTAATAAATGAAGTATCAAAGTGTTCCTCATTTTGATCATCAGGTAAGGCTTTCTAGCATGAATGACACATTACCCTGCCTTACTAAACAGCAGACACTGTATTTTACACTTTACAGATGACCCAGGCTTGTTGCTATGAATGTTGGTTTTTGCTTTGGAGGATAATGCAGGGACCCTGTACCAAGAGACGCAAATTGTAGACTTTTTGGGTGGCCTTTGAATTGTTTTCTCCCTCTTTTTTCCCTTTTAGTAGGCATGTCTCATTGCTTCCAGATGCCTTAATAGGCAGTCCAAATTCCTATCCTTACATGTTTTCAGAAAAATATAATATTCTAGTATGTTAGAATATGTTTACAGTAAGAGTAAAGAGATTCTGAATAAGGGCTTAAGAGCACCCCCATGAGCAAAGCACATGATACTTCATACATAACTTTTCTACCATTCCTTTTGGAAGCTCAGTGGACAGGACTAAGATTGATAGGTGAGTAATTCTGTATTACACTGGGACAAACTGCCCAAGTCACAAAGACTGCAGTTTGGTAATTCTTTGAAGATACTCTCTCACCACCTCATCCCTGGTGATTTAGCAAAGAAGCTCTGGTGAAGCAGGTACTTCAGGGGGTTCACACTTATTTGCTCTGGGAGTTTTCCTGTCCCTAAACCTGACCTTTAACTCATTTAATGTGCCCACTTATTCATGGAATGTCATGTGAAGGACTTGATGCTGTCTTGGACTTACAGATGTTCTCAGCTCTTTCTTATCAAGAACAAGCATGGCTGGCCATTGCCTTCCCATCAAAATGGCAAAGCAGCAGAAATCCCAGCAAGGACATGGAAATACAACATGCCCTCATCTGAGCTTTTTTGGAGGAGGTGGCTAGAGGGAGTGTGGGCACAAGAATGGGACTGGCATGCCCAGACTGACCAGTGAGAATGTGTCCCAGCCCTAAGTAGGACAGCCTGTTCCTCACTGTCCATCCAAATTGTGTGGTTCCTCCTCCTTCTCTTGCTTATGGCATAACTGAAGCAGGCATAAAGATGTCAGGGCTTGTGCTGGTGATTCATAGGCATTCTCACCCTGAACCACTGGGTGCAAACTGTTCCTTTTTGCTTACACCTGTAATTACCTGTCATTCATGCAAAAGTGGGCTCTCCAGTCTTTAGCCAAACCCAGCTCAAGCATTTCCCTTCCTTTCAAACTCTGTGGTTTCTACTCTGTGTCCCTTAAAACTGGAAATCAGTCTGAGGGACTCTCCCAGAGATCCCTGCCCTCTGCCTCTACAACAGAGACAGAGGTCTTACCATGAGAAAGGAGTACCCCATCCAGAGGCTGTGCCAGCCAAGGGGGCACTGCGGGATGGTGATATCCTGGCTGTGCACAGCAATGGCTTGCGAGGGTGCCTCACACACAGAGCAGCGGCTGATATACTGGAGGATCTTGGTCTGGCCGATGGGCATCATGGGGATGGGGGCAGTGGTTGAGAGCCAGTAGGACTTATCATTGCGCCTGGCATAGTGACACACTTCATTGATGTTGCAGTAGATGAAAGGCATGGTGCTGAAGTGGGGCAGACAAGAGCCAGCAAACCCTGGAAGGAGAGAAGGTGGACAGGAGCAGGGCTGGGACTATGTCCAGGGCTACTAGGACTTGGCTAGATGGTGGTTTGGGTTTACATCCAACTGCTTGTGCCAGAACAGGGACACCTCTCCTTACCATCCTGGAACACTGTACACACACTAAAATCTGTTGATCAAATCCTATTTTCAATGCACCAGGGAAGTTTGATAATGAAAATAATATTTTTATAAACTGAATAATTATTCCCTAATTAATCTACTTTATAAAACCAGCATTAATAGAGTAAGTCTACTTTTCAGAGTTAGCATACCTGTAGACAATACAAGTAATTCTTGGGTAATCATCCTTGCCCCACAGGTCATCTTATTATTACTACTATTAATCACCAACATTTTTGAATATTTACTATGCACCAAGCATCGTTCTAAACGTTTTACATTGGGTGATTCATGGTAATCCTTACACCACCTTATGAGATAGGTACTAGAATGAGCCTTGTTCCATTCAGGAGGGAACAGAAGCTTACAGAGGTTGAATAACTTGTCCCCAGGTACATAGCTAGTGTTAGAACCCAGACCTGCCTGAATCCAGAGCTGGTGCTTGTAACCCACTACCCAACAGTAGCCTATCAAGATCTGGGGGTAGTGAGGAGCATGGCTCTTGGTTTTTGTGGGGCAGATGGCCAGGTCTGGCTGTCAGAGTCAGTACCTACCCAAGTCTTGGTTGTGGGCTTTCTCCTGCCCCTCCACAAATAGCAAGCTGTAACCCACCCACAGCTGGGTCATCTCAGCAGGGCACAGGGGCACCTGTTTCGACTGGCTGTGTTTCACCAAGGTGTAACCCACTCTCGCGCTCTGTCCAGGCAATCCAGCCCTTCCAAAGGGGCCCTGTTTTCCTGGAGGACCTGAGAGACAAAGAGTGGAAAAGAGTGAGCCAGGTGCAGCCAATAATAACAGCAGCTACTCAAATTGTGCTGAATGTTGAGCAGGGCACAATTTCATCACCCCAATTTGTAGATGAGTAAATTGAGGCTCAGGAGTCCTACAACTAACAAGTGGTGGAGCTAGAACATCAACTCAGATGTACAGTAGTCCCCCCTTATCTGGGATTTTGCTTTCTGCAGTTTCAGTTACCCATGGTCAACCACAGTCCGAAAATATTAAATGGAAAATTTGAGAAATAAGCACTTCATAAGTTTTAAGTGGTTGTGCACCCTTATGAGTAGTAGCATGATAAGATCTTGTACCATCCAGCTCTGTCATGCCCAAGATATGAAGCATCCCTGTGTACAGCATCTCCACACTGTATATTCCTTGCCCATATTCACTTAGTCCTCTCAGTTATCTGGTCAACTATCAAGGTATTGCAATGTTTGTGTGTTCAAGTAACCTCTATTTTGCTTAGTCATGACCCCAAAGCCATTCACATAACTCTTATTACAGTATATTGTTATAATTGTTCTATTTTATTATTAATGTTGTTAATCTCTTACTGTGTCTAATTTGTAAGTTCAACTTTGTTCATTGGCATGCATATAGGAAAAAAAACCAGTATATGTAGAATTCAGTACTCTCTGTGGTTTCAGGCATCCACCGGGGGTCTCAGAATGTATTACCCACAGATAACGGGGGACTACTGTATCCAGTTACAGAATCCCCATTTTAAAAAGCATACTGTCCAGCTTCCCTCCCATAGTCACCTGGCTTTGGTTCTCTAAGAGGGGGCAAGGGAGGATACTTCTTGGGCCAGCCTTGTAGACTCTCATAGTAGGTAACTAAGTGCCTTTACCTGATGAATCAGAGGCAGAAAAAGCAGACTTGGGATTGGGCGGGGGAGGGGGGGGGCGGGGAATTGCACCCTCTTCTCCTGCCTAAGGCAAATGATGATACCACTTTCCCACTGAGCCTCAGAACTGTTTTCTACTCAGGACAACTGATTTGCTATCTCTGATATAAAGATGGGAAATAAGTAGCAAAACAACCATACCTGGTCTCAAATTTTCTTATCTCTTGTTCCACCCCCCTCCCATCCACATCACAATCCTTAGGTAGAAAAGGGGAGATGCGGAACAGGAAGCCATGCTGTACAATAGAGTCAGGAGTCTTAAGAGCTGGAAGACAACCCAGAAGAGTATTTGGAACATACCTTTCTCTTTAGGAATATAGGGCTTTAATTCTTCACAGGCTCAGAGGGAATGCATTAGAGCCAAGTTTTCCAGTCTCTGGGTAGTGTCAAGCTTTACCACCAAGTTTCCTAGTTCTCATATTTGAGATTTTAACTCACCACCAAGCCTTAAACCCTCACAAAAGCCCTCTGCCCCTAGTGCTGACATTGCCAGACCTTCAAATCCTGGAGGTCCTTGCAGTCCAGGGAGACCGGGATCACCAAGAGCCCCAGGTGGGCCAGGGAGCCCACTCAGGCCATCTTTGCCAGGGATGCCAGGTAAACCTTTGGAGCCTACAAAGAGAGAAGGCCCACAGCGGGTTACTCAATATGGAGGGTCTGGAGGAGGGGACTCATTTGTCATGCCCAGGACTCACCAGGAGAGAGTGCACTGTCCATCAGGTTGGCGCTCACATTGAGCTCAGGGCTGAGCTTCCCGGGCTAGTCCTTAGTTCATGTTGGGGCATCTAGGCGCTGGGACTGCACTCTAAACTTAGCCCTTCTGAGCTTCTTTGCCTCTATTTCCTCCTTCCTTCCTCTTATACTCCCAACAATGCTGGGAAGAATGCAGGGCCACTGCTGGCATCCCATGCCAGAAATGAGGACATTGAGGCCCAGAGAGACTGCTAACTTACTCCAGTCAAGGGGAAAACTGGGATTAGAAGTCGGGTTTCCTGTCCCCCAGCCCTGGACTTTCTCCATTGCTTTTCATCCCCCTTCAGACTCCCTCCTCTCAGCAGCATGTTAGTGAGGGTCAAGCTGTCTGGAGTAGCTGTTATGCTCTGCCCACACAGTCTCTAAAACCAAGGACAACTGCTGGTTCTGCTGGTCTTTCCTCCTGGCAAGAAGTTTGGCAACTCTTTGACGAGCAGAGGAAATGCTTGAGGAAGGTGCCCCCTTGGAGCTGGGCTTTCCAGCCAATTTGTTCAGGCTCTCAGCCAAGACTGTCTCAGCTACCAGATAAGTCATCTTTCTCTTGAACTGTCCTTACCTTGTAGGCCTATAGGGCCTTGAACTCCAGGATCCCCCGTGAGACCAGGGATGCCATCGATGCCCGGGAGACCCATGGGTCCAGGAGGAGCCTGGATGGCTTCTGCAATTGGTGTTTGGCCTGGAGCACCTTGGGGGCCGGAAAAGCCTATGGGCAGGTGGGAGGAATGGAAATGTCAGGTGAAGGCTGAGGAGGCAGCCTTCCTTCTGCCTCAAAATCACCAGCTTTCTGCCCTTCCTCTTTGTCCCCACAATCTCTACTGAATGCCACCAGAATGGCTCTCACCACACTTTACATAATGTCCTATTTACCCATCGACCTTCCCAGTGGATTGGTAGCTCCTTGATGACAGAGGCTAAATTGTATTTATCTTGCCTTCTCAGGGCTCAGCACAGGGCCTGGTACATGTTGTAAATATGGTAGTCTGAGGCTTGGCTTGGGACTGGGGTAGTTAGTTTACTCACTCACTGGTCAGAACACAGTGCCAAGGAGGCTGAGGGGATGCCTCTAATTCCCAAAGTTCAGTTGGCATCACAGCCTAGGGCCCCAAATGCAGGCAGCTGGCTTACTATTAAAGCCAAACAAGCCAATTTGCTTACTAATTCATTGAACAAGTATTTCTTGAGTGCCTACTGAGTAAATCAGGGAATAGAGTGGTGAATAAGACAGATGTTTATGGAGGTTATGGTCTGGTGACAAAGATGAAAATTATATAACCTGACAAATACCATTAATCTTACTGCAAATCGTGAGAAGTGCTACAAAGGAAATGAACAGTGCAGTGACAATGGGAGGGAGGAAGGGGGCTATGAAGTAGAGAACCTACTTTAGAGAGAGTGATGTGTCATCTAATAAGCACTGACATTTAAACTGAGACCATTGAAGCATTAGAAAGAGCTGTGTTGGGGGGCAAAAGTATTCCAGGAAGTAGAAATAGCATGTACAAAGGCCAGGTGTTTTGGGATAACTGAGAGGCTAGTGTGGCCAGAGCATAGTGAGCTGCAAAGGGAAAGGGCTGGTGATGAGAATAAGGAGGGAGGCATCACATAAGGCTTTGTGGTCATAGCTAATTTATTTATATGCCATAGAAGTCAGTGGATGATTTGTTTTTATAAGATCTCTCACCACTGTGTGGAGAAATGATCACTAGTGGAGGTGCACAGTGGAAATAGGGGGACCAATGAACAGGTCACTGCAGTGATTCATGTGGGAAATGTTGATGGCTTGGACCTGGGTGGTAGGGGTGGAGGTGATAAGAGGTGAGTGGATGCAAGGCTCATTTAGGTGACACAATCCTCGGGGCTTGCTATGTGTATGAGTGACAGAGGTGGTGGTAAAGGATGGGAAAGAGGTTCTTCATTTCTGGATTAAGCAAATGGGTGGGTGGTAATGAGAATACAAACCCAATACCCACTAATGTAGAATGAGGAGACCAGTGGCAGGATCTATGGTGGCAAAGCAGCAGTGACTTTCAGTCCTGGCAGCTGATGGAGGCAAAAATATTGCCAACCTGCCCACTGGAGGAGCTTGATCCAGCTGTTTCAAGCATCCAGGCTTTCTTGGCGTGGTGTGTAGTGACTCCTGAAGGAATAATACCCCAGACCCCTCCCCTCCAGCTTATGATCAGCCTAGCACATACTCTCAACTCACCTCTTCGGCCTGCTTTCCCCTTCATTCCAGGAAATCCTGGGTCTCCAGGTGGCCCAACCTTGCCTGGCATCCCCATGAAGCCAGGCTCACCTCTCATGCCTGGCAAAGTCCAAAGGAAAGCAAGTCAGAGCCTGGCATGATGGTGCTGGTTGCGGGGAGTAGAGAGTAGGCAGAGATGAGGGTGGGAAGAGCATTATCAGCTAGCTTCTCTTTACAGGGCTATAGGAAGGAGCCATGTCTGACTGTAGAGTGGGAAAGGGCCCAACAGCCAGCCAAGCAAGCAATCATACCTTTCAGTCCTAGCTCTCCAGGGAGGCCAGAGAAACCTGGAATTCCTTCGTCTCCCTTTGGCCCTTTAGGACCAGGAATTCCAGGGAAGCCAGGGTCTCCAGGGTCACCTTGATTTGAAGATGGCCCAGGGAGACCTGGGGGGCCTGGGAGGCCTGGGCGGCCTAGGAATGAGATGGGAAGAGGGATAAGTAAGGGCAGGTGAGCAGGAAGTGACCACTGCTGAAAACCTTGGAACTGATAGGAAGTCAAAGCCTATCCCCAGGGCAGAGAATGTTCTCTGGCATCTGTGGGGTCCCAGTGCCCAGACCTTCCCAAACCCTTTTAGCAAAAAGTAGCCTGTTGCAGTCCTTGATGTTCCTGCTAAGGGAGGGAAGTGAGGCTGAGCAGGCCCATGCATGTCCAGCCATAGAGATGGGGCTGGATTATATATGGGACCACCCCAAACTCCAGACAAAAGGTGATGGCCAGCCCTCTTTTGGGCTTCCTGTCTTTACCTCGTTCTCCATCTAGGCCTGGTCGCCCAGGGTCTCCAGGCTGTCCTGCTATGACTGATGGCAAGGAGAGGCCTGGGGCACCAGGGGGACCAGCAGGGCCTTGGGGACCTGGGAAACCTGCAAAGAACAAATAAAAGGAGCTGCATGGACTTTGTGTGCCCAGGAGAGGGCCAGGCTCTCTCAGATAAAACGGATATTTACACAGAAATTGGGAGACCTTAGGTAGTTGCCAGACAAACAGATGCCAGCAGAGGGCTCTTCTCCCTTCATTTTATTCTGGCAGTCAGCAGATGAAGTAGCTGACAGGGCTCAGAGACTCCCCTCTCCCCTCCCAGCAAGTGCTGCATTTAATTGGGATAGAGCTTTGGAAATTTCTAGCTCCCCAACCTTACTAGTAATGGAAATATTTTAGATTTCCCCCAAATCAGGGAATAAAATACATGACTGCAGCACATGAAATTGATGTTTCCCAAAGTGTTTTTAAATCTACTCTTTCTGTAGCACATTTCATTAAGTTAGTCAGTTATGTCTGATGTTGTTCAGAAAAGCTTATAGATGGAGGCACAGTCCCCAGCCACTCAGAATAGACACCTGCTGGGTCAGAATGGAGGCGCCCAGGCGCTGTGCTTCCTGATGTCTTCTAGAGCTAACTTCTAGAGCTTCTAGGCAAATGGAAAAACACTTTTTTAGGTAATTCATATTAACTGAATGCTTGCTTAATTGAGCTTAGAGAACAAATTTCTCTACTAAATCCCTTTCTCCTTTTTTGGCCAAAGAGAATAGTTATTTATTAGAGTAAATACAGAATACTTGTTTGCTAAATTTTAATACTGCCTTACAAGTTTTCTGTTTGTGGAATGATCTCTATTATAATATGTTCAAAATGAAAAAGTTTAACTGATGACAGATTTATTTAATATGAACACATTGAATATTTATATGGTACTCTTGATGGAAAAACACATCAAAGTCATACATACAAATGTCGAAGTTCACATACTTTTAGCATGGAAGAAATGTGCTTATTACTTTGGTGTATTCTAGAAGATATTCAAATGAAGAGAAGTAGATTTAAACTGGTTGATAAGCTATCCTTGTGGTTGAGATTATTTTTTGTTTATGACAAGAAAATTCAAAAATATTAGTTGCATTTTAGTTTTTGACAAGTTGACTATATTTATTAATGCTGAATTTCTCATATTTAGGTAAGGAATAGTAAAAGTACACCCATAAAAACTTGTAAAGAAAGATAGCAGGCTGGTTAATTCAGGTGTTTTTAATAAGTTCATTAATTAATTGAATGCTGAGGAAATATAGAGAAAGAAAAATAAATTTCAAGAAAAGTCTCCAATTATTATAAGTCTGAAAAAGAAACAAAATAAAAATACAAAGAACAACTAGTTGTTGCATAGCCACATGGTACTACTTTTAATATTGTCAACTGTTTCTTGATAAACCCTTGAAGTTATATTCATTTTCACAAAAGTAAACATCTGAAAAGGAAGAAATATTGTTTTCCTGAAAAAATTGCTGAAATTGTGCAAAACCAGTAAATGAGACAACATATATAGTAGACTAAGTGTGGGCAGCACACTGATTATAAAAATTCCCATTTCAGTTTTTGAAGCCACCTCCTCTTCTTACCTGTTTCTTTATTTTATAATTATATCAATTTACCATTAAATCTGAAATAAAATACTATTGACCTCAAGAAGTAGAAAAAACAACCACTTAAATGAGCATATGAAAACGCAAGATGGCATATTTTCCCAAGTTGTTCCAGTGTCAGAGCACTAAAAACCCTAAATATACAAATTCAACTTCTAAATATTTAGTACAAATATAAAAATGAAAGATGTAATTTTAAGTTATTTATATTATTATAGGGTCCAGGGTTGCTTTAATAAGTTTCCTTAGGGGTAAACCCTCATTTTACATGGATTTCTATGATCAAATCAGAGATAAGTTCCTATGGGTGAGGGAATTATCATATTTGCTTTTAAAACAAATTGTTTTAATTAGATATTGAGAAAAGGCGAAGAAAGTTTAGAAATAATCTGTAAAAAATAATCCAGATACAATGAACATCTGTTCCAACCTCCCAATTATTTAAGAAAAAGAAGATAGCATTACTTTTCCTTCAAAGATCCCACCAACTTCTCTCCCAATCAGAGGCACCCACTCCTGGATTTTGTGTTCATTGTTCCTTTTTCATCACTGTTTGACCATTCTTATTTGTATCCTAAACAATATTTTGGTTGGTTTTGCTTAGTTATAAACATTTAGCAATGGAATTATACCAAATGCTTTCCTCTGGTACTTGCTCCCTCCCACCCCAACATTATGTTCCTGAAATGTATCCATCTTGTCATGTGCTGTTTACTATATTTGTAATTGTGATTTTATTGCCTCAGATAGCTAAAGGAAATTAATAAATTAATGACCAGGCATTCATAATCCAGATTTGAAAACTGAAAAGGCAATACCCCTGTGCTTCTATCCAGGTTCCCACTTCTCTATCTCCTGTGAAAGAAGTCAGACGATCTCCCTATAGGCTCAGACCATGTTTGAGCCCTCATTTTGGAGAACCTGCTGGCTTTTAGAAAAGAACAGGTTGGTCTAGACTTGTGGTCGGCAAACTGCGGCTCGCGAGCCACATGCGGCTCTTTGGCCCCTTGAGTGTGGCTCTTCCTAAGGAGTACGCTAATTAAGTTAATAACAATGTACCTACCTATATAGTTTAAGTTTAAAAAATTTGGTTCTCAAAAGAAATTTCAATCGTTGTACTGTTGATATTTGGCTCTGTTGACTAATGAGTTTGCCAACCACTAGTCTAGACCAAAGGAAAGAATAAATAGGAACAGCAAATGCACCAATATAAAATACAACAGGAAATGAATTAATGTATGAATGAATATAGATCCTGGAAAACATACGCACATTATACAAACATGCACATAAGTAAGTAAAATATGGGACCTCAGATCCCAGAACTGTGAGGAACAGAACATTTTGCAAATATTTTCCCCCCAGTTAACATGTAATGATATAATGGCCAACATTTCTTGAGCAACTACTATGTGCCTAACGCTATACTAAGTGCTTTTGCATACATTGCCTTACTCCTCATTGATTCCTCATCAAACCTGTGATATAGATTCTCTTATTATGTTCATTTTATAAAGAAGGAAAACTGGGGGTCCATTTGGAACCAAGGGGCAAGTAACTTCCTTGTTCAAGTTCATATAGCTAGTAAGAGGTAGAGCTGGAATTTTAATTCATCGGTGTGACATCAGAGCCCATACTCTTAGCCATTTCTGTTTTCTACTGAGTGGGATATATATGGGTCTTCAGAACATTCCTAAGGAGAGTACAATAATTAAAATTCACTCTCACTATTTGAGAGGTGAGGAAAGGGAGGTTCAGAATGGAACTTCAGACAGTGTGTGAGTCAGGGGCTGAGATTAGGGCAAAATCTGCTTTTTAGTAAACCCAACAAATCCTAATTGTGTGCCTGTTGTGTGCTTGTCATAGGGAGACATTATCCTCTTAGTCTTGGACTCCTTTCAGCAGCCACACTGTCTTCCTAGGGCCCTGGGATTGCCATCCACACTGGACACTGAGGAATTTCTGACAAACCACTAAGTGGACAACTCTGTCCCTCAGGACCATTAAATCCAGGCTTTGGGCCAAGTGTGCAAGAGAGGCCCTTAGTTTAAATAAGGGAGGGTATCTGGAGGCTAGAGAGCACTCTATCAACTCCTTCCTCAAACTACTTCCTAGGAAAGCCCTAGGCATGCCTACCTTCTTTTCCTCAGCAGTCTGTTCCACTGGGTTCTGAGATTCGCAGAGATGTGAAGACATGCACAGCTCAACCCCGTGAGCTGCATGGCCCTGACAAACCCCAGCCCTAGCTCCCCAACCAGGCCTTAGCTTCTACAAGGCCTGATTTGGGGTCACTTACCTTGGCCACCTTTTTGTCCTTTCATGCCTGGCTTGCCTGAGGCTCCAGTGCCAATTCCTGGAGAACCTTTTTCTCCTTTGGGACCAGGCAAGCCAGCTGGACCTGGCACACCAGTTATACTAGGTCCTAGGAGGAGAGGAGAACAGAACTCAGTGTGTGTGTGTGTGTGTGTGTGTGTATGAGGCCCTCATGCATAGCTCAATTATTAGGGGCCTGCCTGAAATAAGAGGAAGGAGAGCTCATTCAAATAGAGGGACAAACCCTATCCTCTTTCCTTCACATACCAAGGCAGTCCAAATTGGGGACTAGCAAAAAGATCTAGGAGTCCAAGCATATGGGATACACCAGTCAAGAACTCATGGCCAGCACCTGTCAGGCTTCTATTACAGCTGATGGTCTCTTTCTTGCCCTTGAAGGTCTTCATTACCTGGAGTTCCATGGGTACCCTTGGTTCCTGGAAGCCCATTTAGTCCATGTAAACCAAGAATTCCAGGATAACCTAAGGGGAAAGAATATCAGAAATGGCTTTAGCAACTCTAAATCATGAAGGGCCAGCAAAAGGTCTTGTCCCCACGGGCATTGCAAAGTCCTCATTTTTAAAAAAAGTGTGAGAGGGAAAGAGATAGAAAGATGGATGAGAGAGAAACATTGATTGGCTGCCTCCTGTACACCTCCTTCTGGGGGTCAAGCCTGCAACCCGGGCATGTGCCCTGACCAGGAATCAAACCTGCGACCTCCTGGTGCATGGGACAACACTCAACCAACTCAGCCACACCAGCCAGGCTGCAAAGTTCTCATTTTAAAGGTCATGTTCTTTCTTGAGGCATTACTTAATGCCCTAAGTGAGACTAGACCACTCTTAACCTATACACTCCACCCTAAGTTTTCTTGACTCTTATTAAACACCTGTATAGCTTTAAGAACAGGATGATAATTAGGTTTTTTAAAGAAAAATTCAGAGTAGCAATGCCAATACCTTGAATTGCCAACTCCCAGAGACTCACTGCCCAATCTCTAAGTCAGGGAAAGACTTTTATATGCCATGGCATTGACCTTCCCTGATAATTCTTCTCTCCATGAATTCTATGTTCTTATGTTCCCATTTATACTTGTCTTTTTTTTCCCCTCTTCATCTTCCTTTCCTATTATCCCTCACGTGGCTCAGTAAATGGCTCTCCTGAACATGGCTTAACCTGAGCTAGTGTCTCCTAATAAAAAGTAGTTGCTGTCCTTTTTTAGGGAAAGACCCTTTATTCCACTGGCTTCTCCAAAATACACATACCTTTAGTTCCTATTAGGCCAGGTGGTCCCAGGGGCCCAGGTGAACCTGGGTGGCCTGGAGAACCTGGAAGCCCTGGATTTCCTTTTATGCCTGCAATCCCAGGGATCCCTAAAAGTGAAACCAAGGCAGAAGTTCAGAATGGGTCATGCCTTGAAGGTAATCCTATTTTTTTCATAATAAAGTTGTCATGTGGCATGGTACCTGGGGAGCCAGGAAGGCCAACATCTCCAGGAATACCAACTTTTCCATCTTCACCTCTAATTCCAGGAACACCCAAGTCACCAACTAGTCCAGATTTTCCTTTCATACCTACAAATCCAGAAAAATACTGAGTGATCAGGTCAAATTTTGGGCAGTGCATTCCTCCTTTACAGAGGGAGAGTAGGAAGTTGAAGCCACTTGAACTGTCAAGGTTGCTAGATCCAAAGAAAGAACTGAAAAGGATCATAGCAGCTGTTTTCACATTTGAAAAGTGCTGCTCAATTGAAAAGTAAGTAAACTTGTTCTGAATGCCCCCAGAAGTAAGATCAATGGGTGGAAATGTTCTAGAAGCAGTTTAGATAACTATAAACTAAAGGGGTGGATACCATTATTCCACAGATCTTATCCCATATAAGGCTACAAATCTTGAAAAAAGAGTAGGCTGGTTTGCTTGGGGAAAACTGTGTGCTGCCTGTGAGTGGACATATGACAGGTAGGAATTTTTCTGCGCTGGATAGAAGTTGTAGAACTTGGGGTTGACCTCCAAAATTCCTTTCAATCCTCAGTTTTTAGTAGTCTGTGAGACAAGTGAGACAAAAGTACAGAAACCTTACCTTTCAAGCCAGGTTCCCCAGGTTCTCCCTTAGGTCCTGGGCTACCAGGAAGTCCAAGTGTCTGGCCTTGATCTCCTGGGGATATCAAAACATTGTTCAAATGTTCAGGAGAAGCTATAGCTCATTTTGCCAAAAGGAGAACTTTTTAAGGCAAAAATCTTTCCAGATTCAGTATAGCCAGAAGAGCTCCTTAACAAAATTACCCATTGGGTTAAAAGTGACCAATCATCAACAAAGGGCTGAAGTGCTACCAGGCTATTGGCATGAAATGATGCTACAGACAGCATATCTCCATTGGAAAAATACATCACCCAGTTTGGGCAGAGAAGATCATGGAAAGGGCCCTAAAACATCACCAAAATGGAACAGTGATGACAGAAAGAATGGGAATTTTTCCTGCTCAGTGAATTGGGTTAAGTAGGGGAAGAGACACTTTAGAGCCTAGGTTCCCCTCTGCTGCTAGTCTGGAAGGCAGGAGGGTTGAATGCACTGTTTGTCACATGTCTTTGAGGAACAAAGACTGCAAAAGGGGGTTGGCCAAAGGGAGAATGTAAATTAACTCACTTTCTCCTAAACACAGAATCTTACCCCCCCCCCCCCCCCCCCAGGAGAGCCCTAGGCCTATTAGAAATTCACCTTGATCTGGAATAAAAACACATTAAAAGAGAAAGTACTCCTTACCTTTTGAACCTGGGAGGCCAGATGCTCCTGGGAGCCCAGGAGCTCCGCTGAGACCCTGCAAACCCTTCAAAGCAATATGGGGATCATTATTTCTGCCCATAACTAAGGGCCTTCCATTCTTACACCCCCTCCCCTCCCTGAGCCACTGCCAGAGGTGTCTATCATATACTCTGTGGCAGTAGTGGACTGGTGGAAGAGGGGTGTGACATCCTGCAGAGGGGAAGATGATGAGCAATCGATGGAAGTGCATCCTTGGGGTATTTTTTAGGGGAAGGATTTGATCTGTGATTAATCCTGGTCTTGTCATTCATAACTTCCTAATGCCTATTAAAGTTGGAATCTTGGCAATTCAAGTGTTCCAGCAAGTCTCTTAGAAAATGCAGAATGTGACAGTCAGGCCAGGCACTAGGTGTGCTATGCAGAGAGTTGGCTACCACTGCCCATGACAAACCTCTGGAGTCATTATGCGCAAGAAAAAGTATTGCTTCACTATGCGAGGCTAGCCATCTGTCACAGGTTCAGCAGGGAACACAATGTCTTTCTTTCACCAGGTAACAGTCTGTATGTGTGCAGGTTCATAGGAAAAACTGCTTCATTAGCTAATGTCCAACACACTCTCTGAATCTGGGAAGTGGTCATGTCAGCTGCCACCAATACAATTCTTCTCCTGGTATCTGGTATGGTCTTGATTCATTTTGAGATGTACCTAGTAAAGACATGTGCTACCTAGTGCCTTGGGTGGAGTCTGAGTTCTGTACTGGGTCACTGTGGTCACCAAACTACTGCTTATAACATCCCCTCCATTTGCCTGGCTTTTTCCTGCACATTGCATGTCTACTAATTCTAGCCTTCACTTATGCTCTGACTCCTTCCAGAATGCTTTCCACTTTGATTTCATCCCTCCCAGTGTGTGAGTAGTCGGGACCACCTAGTTGAGAACTATTTGTTTTGAAATTGCTTCAGTTGTGTGTGTGTGTGTGTGTGTGTGTGTGTGTGTGTGTGTGTGTGTGTTCTCTATACCAGATGGACTGACACTTTTAAAGGACAAGGACTTTGCCTGCATGGAGCATGGGTGTTCTGTGATTCAGTTCATTTAGTCCCTTCAATACCACTCTTATTATTGCTACTATTTATTTAGAGTCTGCCATGCACCAGATGCAATACTAAGTGCTTTACGTGTACCATCTCACTTGATCATCATTTCTGTCTGCAGGAGGTATGATTATTCCCATTTCTTACAGATAAGAAAAGTGAGGCTTGGGCAAGTTAATCAATACGCAAAAAATCACAGAGCTAATGAATGATGGAACTAAGATTTAAACCCAAGTCTCATTGTTAAGCCTACTCTACCACTCTGCCTTTTAAGAACCCAAAGAAACTGGATTTGATTATTTGCCAGTTGTTGTCTCTTGTGGAGGCAACAAAGACCCTTCTGAAATCAAAACATCATAAAGTCTGTACCAAATTCTTATGATGTGCCAAACTCAATGGATGAGGGCAGTGGGGTACAGACTAAAAAGCACGTGAGGCAGTTCTTGTTCTCAAGTCCCAACAATCTCACATAAAATCAGACCCACACAGGACCAATAAGTAATGAGAAGGATAGTGTGCCAGCATGGTGGAAGCCCAGGGACTTCTGGAGGAGCGGGCACCTGGGATGGGGCCTGAAGGATGGGCAGATATTAGGCAATTGCAGAGGAGGAAGTCGGCCATATGGGGGTGATAGCATGAACAAAGGCCCAAAGGAGGGGGTGTTCAGGAAAGGATGGAAAGACCTATGAGACTCAAAGAGAGGGCTTTGTCTAGGGTGACCTGGGAAAGGGGTCAGGATCAAAATGGTAGGCAAAACGGACATATCCTCTTGCTATAGAGGGCCTTTCCTGGTGGGGAGACAAAAATCTGTACACACATACACTTTCTCCTGGCATTCCTGGGAAGCCCGAGATTCCAGGTGAGCCTTTCTGGCCGGGCAATCCCCGCAGTCCTGTGGATCCAGGGGATCCTGGTCTCCCAATAAGTCCTTTGATGGTATTGGGGAATCCAGGAGCTCCAGGCAAGCCTGGTGGCCCATGGAGACCAGCCTTTCCTTTCTCACCTGGGAAAGAAGCAAATGGCTTAGAATGAGACTCTGGGCAAGAGAAAGCTGCTCCCCAAGGTGCAGGTGCCCTGGGTTGCAGACAGACAAAGTACAGCTTGGGGACAGTTAGCATGGAAGTAGAGGTGGGGGTGGGGTGGTGTCTTCAGCCTTATGAAGCACCAGTAAGGTCCAGCCCTGCTCCAGTACTGGGAAAGCTGTTCAGTGCCCATTCCCTACCATCTGCCAGGCTCCTCCAGGGGTACAACAGTCTGTGGTTCAAAAACTCAGTTAAACATTGACAGTGAAAACTGGCAGTCTCAAAGTCCAGGTGCCCCTCTGTCTCATGGGAAGGTATCCTCTTAGAATCCCCTGCCACCACCCACACTGACACTCTGTGGGTCTTGTAGTGCAGGGCCTTTTCTCAGGAAGGGATTTGAGTTTGGTTCTATGTGGGAAACTGTTTATTGCCTTCACTATCTGATAAGCGTAGACAGAGAACCCCCGGAAGGCTGGGTGCCTTTGAAGCCCTAGCAAAGGTCGGAGCTAGGCGCCACCTCTGTTTGTCCAGACAGTGGTAGCTGAAGCAACTTCCCCATTTATTATTATGTAAATCCTTGCTGATGGGCTAGTCTGCCTGTTAATGGGGGTTCGCCTGCCTAAGGGCTATGCTATGGGTGCATCCCAGATCAATAAAAGCTTGGTGAGGCCTGAGCATGGGAGGAAGTCCTTCCCCTTGAGTTGGACTTGGCCGCCTGGTCCCCCAATATTTCCAAATTATCTCTTGTCTTTTCATATTCATTTGTGTGCGGCTCTGCTTCCAGTTCCTGAACCCTGATCCATGTGGGACGTGGGAAGGAAACACTCAACAGTTCTAAAACCTTCCTGGGGCATTTCTCCTGCCCAATCCCTGCCCCAGCACCTCTGGGTCCAGAAAATCCATCCAATCCAGCTGAGCCCTGAGAGCCTTTGTCTCCTTTGAATTGAAGGTTCAGCATTGGAGGTCTTAGACTGGGAATTCCAACTGGCCCCGGATCGCCTCTGTCTCCTGCAGGGATGGAGATCATGAGATCCTCATGAGAGGAAGCTGAGACATGGGGTTAGGCATGAGCTGACCTTTCATATCAGCTCTCCCCCCCACCACACCCAGGCACCCTTTCTGGGCCCTTCCAGCTTCTTTTGTGCCCCTGTTTTCCCAACTTTGCATTTGTGTGCATGTTCTATCCTTCAATAAGCCCAAACTCCACAAACAACTTTAGACTGTACTCAAAACCATCCTCTGTTGAGCATCTGGGAATGTATGACAAGGCCTCTAACATGCAGTGGTAACAGAAGAAATTAGGTCTTTTAGTTTAAAAGGATTTCATTCAGAAGCCTTAAATCTTATTATCTAACACAGGATTGGTAAAAACCACACGGATGACAAAGTTGACAAACAAAATGTACCTTGGGAAGCATGAATGGAAATTCCAGAATTCAATTCCCCAGCTCACCTTTTTCACCAGGGCTACCAGCCCTTCCAGATGGTCCCATTTTTCCAGCCAACCCAGGAATTCCCTTTAATCCATTTGCACCAGAAATACCGGGGAGACCTGGCATCCCTGGAAAACCTATCAGTCCAACAGACCCCTTCTCACCTGTTAAGAAACAAGAACTTCTATTATTATCCCTGTTTTACATACAAGGAAATGGAATCTCAGAGAGGTTAACTTACCTAAAGTCACACAGCTAGGAAGTTGCAGAAAAGAGATTCAAACCCAGGTTTCTTTAACTTCAAAGCCCTAACTCTTAGTCATTACACATTATACAATTTCCCTGTACAGGGACATGACACTAAGCAACAAAATGGAAAGACGAGGTGGACACTTGTTTTATGATTTGTCAAAATAAAGCTCATGTGTGGCACATACACAAAAAAGCCCAGGGTCAGGAGGCAGGGAGATTAGCTCTAGTCTGGCACTGTTTACTAACCAGTTGTGTGACATTAGACCACTCACTTCCCCCTGTATAAAATGGACACCCAACCTCTGATGTCTAGCAGGATATGAGAACAGAAAATGAAAACTATCAGGCTTTGTGGTAAGGGTGAACCTACCACAGATGAGTAAGCAATGAGTAAACCCAATGTGGCTATGACTGTCTTGGGCTTTGCTGACTATGCTATTCAGGCCAGTGTTCCACCCAGCAGGCAGTGAGTGTGACTCTTAGCACTAGCCTTGTCCAACTATCTTGTCACTAAAAGCCCTGCCCACCTCCCTCCTCATCCCCCTTTCCTAGGCAGAGGGGAAGGGCAACCTGGGCAGCATGGATGCTCCTTTGTGGCACTGACGAGTGCCTTTCTGATCACTTCACTTACCCTTCCGACCTGGCAGGCCTGGCAATCCAGTGTTCCCTGGCAACCCTGAGTTCCCCAGGAAGCCAATTAACCCTGGGGATCCAGGAAGGCCTTTCAGCCCAGGCAGACCTCTCTTTCCAGTTGATGCAGGGGGACCTGTTTCACCTTTTGGACCTTTCTTTCCAGGATGTCCTGAATCACACAGGAGAGAACACAGGACAGCTGTGAAGTAAGACTCTGTTCAGATCTGGATCACTGCCTATTCTCATGGCTTCTGATTGTTTTTAGTAAATGGCCCTTTAACAATGGCTTATGTAGGTTGCTAACAGGCAGAGGTCTTAGTTGGCTAAAGCATTAGCACCTACCACCCAGAGTGTCACACCAATGGCTATTAGTTCCAGCATGGCACTGTAGCTGGCAGGGCACACAAACCCCTTTTGATTATAACTTCTTCACCCTTTATGAATGTGGTTTAAACTTTAGCCTCTGAATGGAGCTCTCTAAAGCCAGGGTGGCAAATGGACTCTAATTTCCTGGAACTTCCAGTCTGAACCACTCCACAATGGCTGTTTCCTGAGCCAATTGGTGAAGTAGAGGTTAAAGCTGAGCCATTGTTTTAGCTTCCCAGGGAGCCATGGGTCCAGGGATGCCCTTTTAATCCCTCATGCAAGCAGTTAAATCAACCAGTTACTTGGCATTAAGGTTGAAAGACCTCCTAGTGCCAAGTACTGTAGAAATCCCCAAGGTCCATTTGGTCTCCTAGGTATTCTGAGACTTCTTTCACCATGCATTACGTTGGCCAATGGGATTAACCTCCTGAGCCTCTGCCAAAGTGGAATGTTCAGGTACAAAGCAAGGAAATTAAAAAACCAAAGGATTAAATCAGTGTCGACAGAGGTATTTGGACCTCTGAGGACCTAAATGAATGGCTGACTTGGCTTTCTATGGATTGAAAAGCATCAAGTCGCTGAAATCCCCAAGATTCTAATGGGAGGCTGTAAAGCGGATTCCACAACAAGAGAAGGAAATTCAATGGGGTCCAATCCCACAGCATGAGTTCAGGGACCCCTGGCTTTGCTAGGTTATAGTGTATACTAGGATAATTCTTTGAGTGCAAAGCAAAGTCGGTGGGGATGTTAATCTGTGAGCTTAAGTGTCATTTTCTCACCTGGACAGCCTATGTGAAGACACCAGAAACCAGAAGTACAAAGGGGATAAAAAGCATATTAGTGGTGCTGTAATTCAACTTCATTCACTTGGCCAGGAGTAAGGAGAGATGATATAGTCACTGAGGAAGGGTGTGGAGGGTGGTGCAAGAAGAAGACAAGCTGCAAACACTAGGCTGGAACCAGCGGTATCAGGCCCTACTGCCCAGTGAAAGACACTGTGGCCATGGACCTCAGAGACATGCTCCCCTGAGAGGGAGGCCACCATGCAGTCACACTCTGCTTGAGCTTCTCCCTCAACCCAATGACTTCCTAGGGCCCCAGTAAAGGCAATGGACATGGCTAGACACCCCTCCACAGCAAGGGTGGCTCCTCTAAGGGAAGGCAGGAGGAGGCTGAAGCATGATAAGGGGGTGGGAGGTCATGGGGAAGGATCAGGGTGGGATTTGTGGCAATATTTTGGAACCTAAACTGCAGAAATCTGTTCTGCTTGGCGTTCGAGGGCAACTTGAGATTTGAAACTTGAGAGGTTAGGAAAGTGGTCTCCTTCTCAACTCTGTCCATGTCACACTGCTGCTATTCACCATCAGGGCACCAGGGCCTAGCTTAAGTCTGGCAAGCTGGGTTTTCATCTCCAAAGGACCTACCTGAAGTGCCTGGAAAGCCTGGTGCTCCTGGTAGCCCGGGTTTGCCCTTGATGCTGGGTAAACCAACAGTCCCTGGGATACCTGGTTGTCCCACGTGGCCTGGTGTTCCAGGGCTGCCCTGCTCACCTTTGGGACCTAGCAATCCTGACTTCCCAGACAAACCTAATGAAAGGAAGGGATAGATGAGCATAGCCTGTTTCAATGATGGCAGGGCCACATTACCAAACCAACTGCCAGTGGAAAAGCTGGTCCCAGATGTATCCCAGGTGCCACTGTAGTCTCAATTCCAGCATTGTTGCTATTCCCAGCAGTTAATAAGAGGCTTTGCAAGAGACCTGACTATTTATTATGGTTACTTCTGGAATTACTAAGACAGGAGAATAAATTCAGGCAATTTAATAAAAAAAATCCCCAAAGAGAGGGACAGAATAAAGTGACTTTTCATTTTAATCCCCTTATTAACCCATCGCCCCAGATTCATGCAAATGTTCATGCAAGTATACTGGTTACAGAAAGGCTTTCTGTTAATTGTTAAATAAGTGAGGCAATAAGAGTCACCCTTGGGTCCTGGAAGGCCAGAGTCTCCAGGAAATCCTCTGTCCCCTGGCAATCCCTGTAGGCCTTGCTCCCCTGGAGCACCAATTTCAGCGCCAAAGATGTCACCAGGGACTCCCTTTGAACCTGGTAAACCTGGATTGCCAACTTTGCCAGGCAAGCCATCTTTTCCAGGGAGCCCAGGAAACCCAGGCAAGCCCTTATCCCCACGAGGTCCAGTAAATCCTAAATGTAAAGAGGCAAAAATAAAAGGCCATGTAGATTTAGAAGCCATATATCTGGGTAGAGGTATCTGAAACAGATTTTTTTCTACTATGAAAGTGAACATATCAATAATGTGTGTCATGAATCTAAAAAAACAAAACCAACAAATAAAACAAGTTAAAACAAACAAGAAGCCCCAAGCTTATAGATACAGAGACCAGATTGGTGGTTGCCAGAAATATGGGGTAAGGGATATGGGAAATGGGTGAAGGGGGTCAAAAGGTACAAACTTTCAGTTATAAAATAAGTCATGGGGGTGTAATGGATAGCATGGTGACAATAGTTAATAATACTGTATTGCATGTTTGAAAATTGTTTAGAGTAAATATTAAAGGTTTCATCACAACAAAAAAATTATGTAAGTAGGTATGGTGAAGGATAGTAATTAGACTTATTATGGTGATCATTTCACAACATATATAAATACTGAATTATTATGTTATACACTTGAAATTAATATAATGCGATATGTCAATTATACCTTAATAATAAAAAGAAACATATTTAAAAAGAATAATAGTGTGTCTCATATTTCTCTTGAAGATCAGGAGTCTCTGGTCCTGGGAGGACTTGCCTAGAGGCAGGGACTGCACCATATGACCTGGAGGAGGTTCTAACTCATTGAGGCCAGGCCTTGGGCAGAACCCAGCAACTCTGGGGCTCCTACAGTAGCTGAAGAGATGAATTACACCCATGACCTCATATAAAAGGCCCAGTCTCTACTGGAGTTGTCAAACTCCTGCTGTCATGCTTCCCTCTTTCTGGGTCATGGAAAGAACTGAGGCACCAATAAACCCCAGGGCACATAGCCCAAGATGATCTCTGTGCTGTAGAACAGAAGTGGGTCTTAAACTAAGTCCCCTGGGGCATGGTTACTTGGTAAAACTCAGATTGCTGGGCCCACCCCAGAGCTTCTGATCAGTAGCTCTGCCAAGAGGCCAAGAATCTGCATTACTAAAAAGTTTTCAGGTAATGCTGCTGCTGCTGGCCCAGGTTTGAGAACCACTGGTGCAGTGTAGAATAATGACACTCAGGTTGAAATATCAGCGTGTGAGTGAAGGGATAGAAATGGAAAACTTCTCTGTGACTCATCTGAATTTCTCTGACCTTTAAGGAGTTGATCCAGGAAACTGCCACAGGTCTGGCAGCCAGACAAACTGATGGAGTCCTAGCTCTGTCACTAATGGCTTTGTAATCACAGGCAATCCACTTTTCACTTGCTCCCCAATGTCCTCATCTGAAAGTGAAGAGGCTGTTCTAGCTGATCTCAAATGGCCCTTATTGCCCTCATATGCTGTCATGTTGTAGCTCTAACCTAACTCCCTGCAACTGGTAGATGGCTACCACACCAGAGCACAAACCTAACTTCCTGCAACCGGTAGATGGCTACTACAATCCAAATGCACACACTCACACAAAAGGAGAAGCAGGGAGGAGAGCTTATTTACTTACCTGGCAATTCAGGGAGGTGAAGTGATCCTGGATTTCCAGGCTCTCCTTTATTTCCATGCGATCCAGGCTGGCCTGGAGTCCCAGGAAGGCCATGGGCCCCTTTGGGGCCTGAAAACCCAAATGGTGAGAGAAAAGGTGAGTTAGTGTGGATAGGTAGGATTTGTGGTGTTCAGTCAAGAGTCCTAGTGTCTTGGAGGGCATCTCTTTTTATATATTTTTAAACTGAAGTTTAGAGAGAGAAGAAGGGAGAGGGATAGAAACATTGATGAGAGACTCTCCAGCAGCCATTCTATTTTCTCAATCTTCAAGGCTGCCCTCTCAGGAGAAATGTGTACCCCCAAATGCTACCGGGCTACACCCTGCTTCCTTTGGCTCATGACCCTGGCAAGTATGCTCGTGGCTTTCTCTGGTCTCATTCCATACCTGGGAATCCGGGAGCTCCTGGGAATCCTGACGGACCATATGGCCCAGGAATAATACAAGGCAAGGTGATACCTGTAAATGGTAACAGGTAAACATCTGGTGATCCCACTGAGTCAGGAATGATTTCCCCCCCAGCATGCTCCTTTACTTCCATTCCATCGAATGGGACAACCAAGTTCTTCCCACCCAGAAGCTGGAGGCCATGCAGAAGAATCCTGACATCAGAAGCACTTGGGAGTTACCCCTAATGCAATTGCTTTCAGATAAGAACGCCCCTAGTGTCCAGGTACCAGGGTGTCACTTCCAAAACCATCAGTGTCCAGTGCCAGGCAGTCATCTCTGTAGCAGATGTTACCTATGAAGATTTCCTAGCAGTGACCTGTGCAGGAACAGCAACAAATGGCAATGGCCTGCTCACCCTGCCCTCAGATGGAGTCTCTCCCTAGGATAGAAGCTTGGGGTTAATCCTAAGGGTCCATTATGCCCACATTACAAGGGTTTGAAGCCAAGACCCTCAAGTTCACATGTCTTCCCAATTTTTGGAGTGAGTTCTTTCGACACACCTCATTTGGAATCTATTGAAGTCTATTGACTGTTCTTGGTCAGATATACCTATAGATTTGTACCAGCCAAACACTGAAGGCCATTCTCTTGTCCACAACAGACAAACATTGACCCTTCCCTCAGCTCCACATTTACTAAAACTGCCAACTCTGCCACAGAAGGAGAAGGGGCAGTCAATATTAATATTCAAGACATTAGAATTGGCATGCATAGCCCTTCTTCTAGCAAATTCTTCATTGGTCATTCATAATGCAAATATAAAGAGTCTATAAGATCACAGAGGGGAGGTTTAATAAAATATTGGTGAACAAATTAAGTGTTGGTTCCCTCAACTTCCATTTACAAACAATTGCTATGCTAATTAAAATTAGTCTTGCTTATTCATTAAAAAAATCCCTCAAGGTCTGCTTTAAGCATGGAGCTAACAGTTCTAATAAACTTCTACATCTTTTGCCTGTACTTAAAATCAGACTTAAACTTCATTTCTTAAAAGATATGTATACAACCTCTGATTCAGACTGCTTACTCAACTGGATGACATTTCTCCTCCAATCCCACTTCTATTTTCTACTATGAAGACTTGATGGCATTTTTAGCCTACTTGTTCTATTCCTAAATCAAAATTGAAAATTAAACAATATAATGTATTGGCTTAAGAGGTGGGCTCTGAAGCTGGACAGACCTGTTTGTATCCTAGTTGCGCTACTAACTAGTTGTATGGGCAAGATACTTAACCTCTCTAAGCATCATGTAAATGAGAGCTACTTGTCTCATATGGTGTTTGTGAGGATTATATGCAAAATGCTAACAGTGCCTAGAATCCTGGTATGTGCCTAATGAATAATAGTTTTTTATTATCTTACTTAAGAAAAGGTACTTAGAACAACTCCTGCAAGGTCATCCCTGGTTTCTACCCTCAGTCAGGTTAGTGACACTACTTTCTAGCCTGGGCAGCAACTTTCTGTCTTCTAGACCTCAGGTTCCTATAGTCATATTTCCATAGGTGGAGAGGTGGCCATAGGCCTGATCTTCCTCCATAGGTGGCCACACTCATCGTGATCCTGCCAGACACTGAGATGATGGACCTATTTCTGAGGGTTATTTCCACTATGGAAATATGCTCCATGGGCAAGCACCTCAGGATGACATGCCAATCCTATTCTTTCCTCCAGCCCAAGTCCTTTGGACTAGACTGAAAAACTGCCTCCTAGATGGTATCATGAGAGGGATCCTGCAGAAGACTCTCTTGCCCCAATAATTTCAATAGGCTTCAATGTGTCAAACACTGCAATTTCGTTGCTTTATGTCTTAAGAAACAAACTGGGTAAAATACAGTTATCTCTGGATTGACTCCAAACATAAATCCATCCATCCTTAATTTATCAGATCAGTTTCATAGATTTTTTTCACTTGTGACAGCCAGATAAAGACAAAACCTTCAGAGGATGGGGCAGAGGACAGGCATCTGAATAGGAAAAATAATGATAAAAGGGAAGATAAATAGAAACCAGAAGAAATTAAGGACATACTTCCCTTTTGCCTCAGGCCAGTCCTGCACACCACACACCATATGTATTAAAGCAGAGGGTCAACATCATGAGAAGGTAAGGACTTTAAGTCATACTGGTACCTGGTTCTTTTACTTTATGTCCCTGTCTTCTACTTTACATTCCTGATTTCAGAGCCTTCTCCCCAACAAAGCAAAACTTGGTTTTACCCATATTCTGTTTTATAAATGTAACAAATGACCTAATTATTCAGACTTTTCCCAATTAACGCCAAAATTCTCAGAATAAAAAGCACCTCTGGTTACCAAGATTCTAACATCTTAATTTACTCTGGGCCCAATGAATAAATATCAGACATACATGGGTCCTTTGAGGTACTTCTCAAGGCAAGTTATAGCCCCAGCTAAGTTCAGAAAATGAAGGTGCTCAAGGTAGAGAACAGCAAGCCATCAGCATGCATGGTGAAGGAAATCAGCCCCTCTAGAGACTGCATGCCTGCTTAACCCTGTACTCCCTCCCAGAAGGTATGTGCCAAGGAGCCTCTGAAGCAGTTTCATGTTAGCCTTTGCACCCCAGCCTTAGGATCACCCCTCCCCAACCAGGGGCTGCTCAGTGTAGTGCTCAAGCCATTGTGAGTGTGTGAGCTAAAGGTGAACAAAAATGAATTTTTCCCCCTAACATTGGTGTTTGAGAACCTCCTGACCTAGCTAGCTCTCACCTCCCTCAGTGTCTAAGTCTCCTTTACCATCCTTTCCTCTGCAGCAGCAGTCACCTCCTAGACCAATCAAGTAAAGAAGAAAATTAAATCAGGACAGAAGTTCCTCGAGGCCCAAGGGAAGTCTTATCTGCAGCCCAGGTATACCCACCAATCAAATTCCCTGTCTGGATTGAGTGGAGAGAGCTGGCACCCTTACAGGATCAAGGGCACTGCTTCATTAATAATGAAGGTGATGTATTAGTATGAGCATCTGGATAAGAACTTCTTTGGAAACAGCCCATTTTTTGTTAGGTTTTGTAATAATTCACAGTACAAGGTTGAAAGGCTTCTGATGACTACATCCCCTTTCCTGGCAAGGCATTGTCCTAGCCTGGGCCACCACTGGTTGAAGTGAGTACATTTAGGAACAATATATTCATTTTTTCATGGCAATAGCTACAATGCAAATGTCTGGGGTCTACAGGTTATATGTTGGTAAAATGGTGTGGAAAGAAAGCTAATGCTCTTAATTGAAGTAATTTGGTAGCCAGGGGGGAGGAGGGGAGTCTTGGTACCGCAACAAGAACATTTTCTGTATAAGCTAGCTCATAGACTATAATTATTATATCACTATATTCCTAAGAACTTTCTGTGTCCAGTGACTAGTGAAGTTTGGGATAGAAATGGTCCCATGGGCTTCCTTCTGTTGACTCAGTTAGAATGTTGAGAATATCTAAATTTGGGTGTGTGTAATTTTATAACTAGACCAATCAACTAAAGAAGAAAAGTAAACCAGGACAGAACAGAAGTTCCTTGAGGCCCAAGGAAAGTCTTATCTGCAGCCCGGGATACCCACATGTTATTATAATTCAGTTTAAAACTTAGTTGCCTGCAAAATGTGTTGACTTAGAATCAAGATCCAATTGTTGGAGGGGTAGTGAAATGACCATGAATAATGTCTCTGAGAACAGAGCTGGAAGCAAAGCTATAGATAACACCAAAACGTCCAAAGGGAAGAATGATTTTGTTTTATAAAAGTTCTCACAGCTTTCATAGGAATGTGTGAACTGAAATAATGATTTTTTTTTATATTTTATTGATTTTTTACAGAGAGGAAGGGAGAGAGATAGAGAGTTAGAAACATCGATGAGAGAGAAACATCGATCAGCTGCCTCCTGCACATCTCCCACTGGGGATGTGCCCGCAACCCAGGTACATGCCCCTGACCGGAATCGAACCTGGGACCCCTCAGTACGCAGGCCGATGCTCTCAGCTTTCATAAGAATGTGTGTGAACTGAAATAATGATTTGATTTTTAATAATCTTGAATCATCAATTTTTAACCTGTACTATTATTGTTCTTCTACAAATTCACAAAATTAGATTTTAAAACAAATATAATTTTTCCAGACCTGGTGTCTTTCTCCCTTTTTAGGTATTTCTTCAATGTGACAAGGTGGAAAGAGGAGAAACAGGTCTAAGAAATAACCCCTTGGTTATTGAGAAGGCCCTTTCTTTTGCAAATATATATTAGTCTCCTATAGAACAATTCTACTATAAGAGGGAGGTTGAGAAATGCTAAAAAGTATTACTCACCTTCCCTAGTATCCAGAGGCTTATAATTCAGTTGGAAAAAGTGAAAGCATTAATGGAAATAATTATATAATTTAAGTGGCAATGACATCTGTGGGGGTCAAGGGAAGGCTTAGTAGAAGAAGTAGGGCTTATATTGAACCCTGATAAATGGGTAGGATCTGACCATATAGAGAAAAGAGGAAGGGTATTCCAGAAAAAAGCAACATGGACAAAATCTTGGAGTTAGAATTGAACATGTGTTTGGGGATAGTGAAAAATACTGTTGTTGTAAGTGGTGTTTTATTTTAAATCATGAAGACTGTGAGATAAGGTAAGGCTACAAAGGAATTCAGACATTATTCAGTAGAGATCACTTGTGGCTTTGGACTAGGGGGTAAAATGATGATATCAGTACTTTATAGATATTAAATTGGCAGCAGTGTTCACAGTAGTATTGAGTGGGAAAAGTCTGGATGTAAGAGATAAGAAACTACTTAGCAAGTTGTTGTCATTGAGTCTCCTAACTATCCACCCACTTGTTCATCCATCCATCCTTCCACCTGTCCTTTCAACCATATATTTATTCCAACAAGTATATAGGTGTTTAATAAGTGAGGCATGAAATAACGACATCATAATAGCAAGAAGAGGAAGGGAAGAATATAAAAACATTCCAAATGAAGAATAAGAGATAAATGTTAAGTTTTCAAACTTCAGATGACTATAAGGTGTGTGATACCACTAATGGAAACACAAAGATTGTGGAAACATAAAAGTTGGGACAGAGAGCTGTTCTGGCTGTATGGAAGATGGCACGATATTAACATATCACCTTTAAAATCCATAAGCAGGACTGTCACTCATTATATTTCCTGAAATTCTAGTAGAAAAAGAACTTACATAAATGGAGGAATTTAAAATATAAAATGGAGATTACACGAGGTACAACTATGTTTTGTTCTCAATCTGAGATCTCATGAATCAAGGAAAGATTCTTCCCTGCTGATGATATTACCACACAATGTATAGGACACCTTGTCCAGTATCCCACTCATTACTACAATGACATTCATAACAAATGGTCATTCAGCTTCTGCTTGAAAATTTTCAGGGATTATGAGGTCATAACTTCCCAAGGCAGCTCTGTTACATTTTTAGACTGCTCTGTTAGGAAGTTTTTCACTAAGTAGAGCTGAAATCCATATTGTTCTGCATAAGCATACCACAATACAATTACAATACTTTTTCCACATGAAAACACTTAGAGGACTAAAAGTATTGATTATAACCAAGTCTCCTCTTCTGACACATTTCATGCAGCTGGGTTATTTGTATACTCTACAAGGGGTTAGTTTCCCAAGTCCAAAGCTATCCGATTCCCTGACTCACCTGGAGGCCCAGGGAGGCCCGTTTTCCCTGGTAATCCATCTATTCCTTGATCTCCAGAAAGTCCACGAGGTCCAGGAGATCCTGGTAGCCCAATTCCTGGGGGTCCAGGAGAACCACTAAGACCTTTTTCTCCAGGAAGCCCTGGGAATCCCTTTTCACCTGGAAATCCCTGTCCAGCATCACCCTAGAATAAAAGCCCAATTTAGAGACTTATCTGGAGAGTCCTCTAACAATAAGAAAGAGGTAACCAGTGTGACTAATACTTTTTTGGGGGTTAAAGTTCTCTATCACTCTATCAATTAAGTCCTCTGAGTTTAGGTAGTGGGGATGATGAAGCTTGTCAATCCTGGGTGATCTGATAATGCCAAATTATCTAGATCAGTGGGGGCAGGGGCAGAAAACAGGAGCAGGATAACAATCCATGGGGTCACAAAAAGCAGCTGGATTACTTGCAAGGGAAAGCTACTGAGAAGCTGAAGCCTTTTAAGTGATATGGTCAATTGTTACTGGCATTTATCAAATGAAACAATGACCAATACTTAGAAAAAAAAAGATTTCCATTTTAAAGAAAAGAAAAACACAGAGCAAAAATTGTCCGTGGCAGAGGAAGAGATGTTTTACCCTGTCTCATGGTCTAGTGTCAATCAGAATCACCCTTTCCCCAAGTCAGGTGTGAGGATTTATAGAGCTAATTACCCAAAAACAATCAACTTACCGGAAAGCCTGGCAGACCTAGTAAACCTGGTAATCCATCCTTGCCTGGTATTCCTGTCTCTCCAGGGAGCCCCTGAGGGCCAGGATCACCCTGTTCCCCTGGCTTCCCTGATCTTGTACTGATTCCCTGATCTTGTACTGAGGGTTGATTCTCCTTTCTCTCCTTTGGGACCTGTAGGACCTTGAGGCCCAAATAAACCCTGACAAAGAGACAAAAGGGAATGAGCACGCTTCATAGAATTCTAGCAACTAACGTTAGTCTTACCTAAAGCAGGTCCTTAGGTACATTTTAATACTGTTCTGGGCACTTGGTTATGTTGTCATTTTGTATTATAATTGACTTTATTTTCTTATCCTTTCTAAATTTTGAAATCTTTGAGGATGGTAACCTTGTCTTAATTCCAATTTTATCTTCCGGGCCCAGCACAGTGCTAGGCAAATGCAAATGATTTTGTGGAAGGAAGGGAGGTAATTAAGAGAGGGAGGAAGGGAAGGAATATAGGTAGGTTAAAGCAGAAAGGAATTTTAGAGATCATCTACCCAAATATTTCACATTACAGATAAAAAACCTGCAGCTTTGTTATATCCCCATTTTTTAAATGTATTTTAGAAAAGTAATTGGTGAGGAGTGAGGGGCACTTGAGAGCTCTCATTGTGCCCTTGGGGCCAAAGTTTGGCCAGACTTACTGGAGACCCTGATGGGCCTTGTGTGCCTTTAGAGCCTGGATCTCCTCTGGCTCCTTTAAGGCCTGGAAGGCCTATATGACCTGGTGGCCCAGGTGGGCCTGGCTCTCCGGGTGGTCCACTGTTGGAGATAGCACCATCACAAGCACAAAATCCCGAGTCCCCTGGGAGAAAATAAAAGACAATATTAAACAAGTGAGCTTTCTTTCCAAAAAAAGAGAGGAAGACCTGACCATGGTAATTTGTGATTTAAGTCCATGGAGACAATAAAAAGGCCTGTGAACAGATTTAAATAAACTAGGTTTCCTCTATATCAAAGTACATCTGTGCTAGTGATTTGGATTTAATTAGTCTGGAACTAATTAAACATCAGTGTGTCTAATGTGTAGCAGAGTTGGGAACCACTGACCCACACTAACCAGCTAACAGTCTGGAATCCAAGCCACTTAAAGATTCTCTTCAGAAAAATGTCTTTTCCCCCTGTCTTTTGTACACAGAGACAAATGTCAAATAAATTAACAATAGAGATTGCAGCAAAGCACCTTTGAATAGGTACCAAGAAGTCACTAACCCTACAGCCCAGCCACCTATACTTTCCACGCTTAAAGTCAGGAAAATAAGAATCTGGGACAACATGGGTGACTTTTGAGTTCCTAAAGGGTCAAAGACATAGGGTAGCTGAGTGGATAAGAAAACATGACCCATATATCTGCTGTTTATAGTAGACCCACCTCAGAACAAAGGACTCACACAGACTGATGGTGAAGGGATGGAAAAAGGTTTTTTAGGCAAATGTAAATGAAAGAAAAAGCTGGTGCTTGAGGCTAAGTACAGTAGTTAGCATAATAAAAGCGAGAACTTCACCAGAAGGCTGATGGACACCTTCAGCAGGGCTGAAGATCTGCATATTATTGCCTGCTGCCAGACAGCTGAGGGCAGTTCCCCCAACCTGATGGTCCTTTATTGTTTACCAAACCTTACCTTTGATGTGTATATCTGCTTTGCTAAAGGGCAAAATATGTTAATAAAAAGCCATGGGTCCAGAGATTTAGGGAGCCAATTCACTAGAGAGCTGGTTTCCTCCTGGTTCCCCATGTCTCCCAAATTTATATTGTCTAGTCTCTCAATCCATTTATGAACAGACCTTCTCAAGATTCCTGAACCCTAGCTGCAGAAAAGACTGCACTAAGCTGGGGTAGCAATACTTATATCTGACAAATTAGACCTCAAAGTGAAGGACATAACAAGAGATAAGGAAGGCCACTTCATAATATTAAAGGGAGCAATTCAACAAGATATAACTCTGGTAAACATATATGCACCCAATAGAGGAGCACGCAAATACATTAAAAAAAACAAAAAACAAACTTCTGGAGGATATCAAGGGAGAGATTGACAGCAATACAGCCATAGTAGGGGACTTTAATACCCCACTAACATCACTGGAAAATTTTTCTAAACAAAAAATCAGCAAAGAAACATCAATCCTAAATGACTCACTAGATCAGATGGAATTAATTGAAATCTTCAGAATATTTCACCCCAAAGCCACAGAATATACATCCTTCTCAAGTGCATGTGGGTCATTTTCAAAGATAGACCACATATTGGGGCACAGGCAAAGTCTCTTCAAATTCAAGAAGATAGAATTTATATCAAGCATCTTCTCATATCACAATGGCATAAAATTAGAAATCAACTACAATAAAAACAATAAAAAAAATCAAACACCTGGAGGCTAAATAGCATGTTATTAAACAATGATTGGGTTACCAAAGAGATCAAGGAAGAAATAAAAAGCATCATGGCAACAAATGACAATGAAAACACAACAATCAAAAATCTATGGGACACAGTGAAAGCAGTCTTGAGAGAGAAGTTCATAACTCCACACACCTACCTCAAAAAATGAGAAAAAAATGGTAATAAATTATCTAACCCTACATCTCAAAGAGTTAGAAAGAGAACAACAAGCCCAGCATAAGCAGAAGGAAGGAAATAATAAAGATCAGAGTGGAAATAAATGACATAGAGGCCAAAAACAAACAAACAAACAAAACAAACACAATACAAAAGATCAACAAAACCAAGAGCTGGTTTTTTGAAAGGATAAACAAGATTGATGAACCTCTAGCCAGTCTCACCAAGAAGCAAAGAGAGAGGACCCAAATAAACAAAATCAGAAATGAAAGAGGTGAAATAACAACAGACCCCACAGAAATATGAAGAATCACAACTCTGGTATTCAAACAAACTTGTCAACCTCGAAGAAATGAACATATTCCTAGAAAAATATGACCTTCCAAAACTTAACCAAGAAGAATAAAAAAATCTGAATAGGCTGACAACTATGGAAGAAATTGAAGCAGTAATCAAAAAACTTCCAACAAACAAAAGTCCTGGACCAGATGGCTTCACAGGGGAGTTCTATAAAACATTCACAGAAGAACTAAAACCTATCCTCCTCAGACTATTCAAAAAAATTCAACAGGAAGGCACACTTCCAAGCTCTTTGTATGAAGCCAGCATTACCCTAATCCCAAAACCAGATAAAGACACCAGAAAAAAAGAGAACTATAGGCCAATATCCTTGATGAACATAGATGCTAAAATCCTCAACAAAATTCTAGCAAATTGCGTTCAGCATTACATTAGAAAGATCATACACCATGACCAAGTGGGATTTATTCTGGGCATGCAAGGATGGTACAATATCCACAAATCAATAAATGTGATACATCACATAAACAATCTGAGAGACAAAAATCACATAATCATATCAATCAATGCAGAAAAAGCATTTGACAAAATCCAACACCGTTTCTTGATAAAAACTCTCAACAAAGTGGGAATAGAGGGATCATACCTCAACATAATAAAAGCCTTATATGACAAACTGATATCTAACATCATACTCAATGGGCAACAACTAAACTCATTTCCCTTAAGAACAGGAACAAGACAGGGATGCCCACTTTCAACCCTCCTGTTCGACATACTACTGGAAGTGCTAGCCATAGCGATCAGACAAGATGAAGAAATAAAAGGCATCCAAATTAGAAAAGAAGTAAATCTGTCCTTATTCATAGATGACATGATACTATACATAGAAAACCCCAAAGACTCCATCAAAAAACTACTAGACCTAATAAATGAATCTGGCAATGTAGCAGGATACAAAATTAACACCCAGAAATCTATGTCCTTTTTTATACACCAATAATGAACTCACAGAAAGAGAAATGAAAAAAATAATCCCATTTACTATTGCACCAAAAACAACAACTAAGATACCTAGGAATAAACTAAGGACATAGAAAGGCCTGTACTCGGAAAACTACAGAACATTGAAAAAAGAGTGATAGAGGAAGACATAAACAAATGGAAGAACATACCATGTTCATGGATTGGTAGAATCAACATCATTAAAATGTCCATACTACCCAAAGGAATCTATAGATTCAATGCAATCCCCATTAAAATATCAATGGCATATTTCAAAGGTCTAGAACAAACTCTCCAAAAATTCATCTGGAATGAAAAAGGATCCCACGTAGCCACAGCAATCTTGAGAAAGAAGAAAAAAATTGGAGGGATCACAATACCAGATATCAAGCTATATTACCAAGCTGCAGTTCTCAAAACTGCATGGTACTGGCATAAGAACAGACATATAGACCAATGGAACAGAAGAGAGAACCCAGAAATTGACCCAAGCTATTATGCTCAATTAATATTTGACAAAGGAGGCAAGAGCATACAATGGAGTCAAGACAGTCTCTTCCATAAATGGTGCTGGGAAATTTGGTCAGATACTTGCAAAAAAAATGAAACTAGATCACGAACTTATACCATACAAAAAACAAACTCAAAATGGCTAAAGGACATAAATGTAAGACGGGAAACCATAAAAATCCTACAAGAGTCCATAGGCAGCAAAATAGCAGACATATGTCGTAGCAATATTTTTACAGACACAGCTCCTAGGGGAATGGAGACTAAGAAGAAAATAAACAAATGGGACTATATCAAAATAAAAAGCTTCTGCACAGCAAAAGAAACCATCAACAAAACAACAAGAAAGCCCACTGCATGGGAGAACATATTTACCAATGATATTTCCGATAAGGGTTTAATCTCCAAAATTTACAGAGAACTCATACAACTTAACAAAAGGAAGATATATGATACAATCATCCAATCAAAAAATGGGCAAATGACCTAAATAGACACTTTTCGAAAGAGGACATACAGAAGGCCAAGAGACATAAGAAAACATGCTCAAAGTCACTAATAATCTTAGAGATGCAAATCAAAACAACAATGAGATACCATCTCACAACTGTCAGAATGGCTATCATTAACAAATCAACGAACAAGTTCTGGCGAGGATGTGGAGAAAAAGGAACCCTCGTGCACTGCTGGTGGGAATGCAGACTGGTGCAGCCACTGTGGAAGACAGTATGGAGTTTCCTCAAAAAGTTAAAAATGGAACTCCCATTTGACTCAGTAATCCCACTTCTAGGACTATATCCCAAGAAACCAGAAACATCAATCAGAAAGGATATAAGCACTCCTATGTTCATAGCAGCACAATTTACCATAGCTAAGATTTGGAAACAGCCTAAGTGCCCATCAGCAGATGAGTGGGTTAAAAAACTGTGGTACATCTACACAATGGAATGCTGCTATAAAAAGAAGGAACTTTTATTATTTGCAACAGCATGGATGGAACTAGAGAGCATTATGCTAAGTGAAATAAGCCAGTTGGAGAAAGATAAATATCACATGATCTCACTCATATGTGGGATATAATGATAAACATAATTTGATGAACAAGAATAGATCCAGAGACAAATGGTAGGGGAGTGGGCGGTTAGAGAGCAACCGAAGGACTTCTATGCATGCATATTAGCATAACCAATGGACACAGACACTGGGGTGGTGGGGGCTTGACCAGGGTGGGAATGGCTCAAGGGGGGGGCGGTCAATTGGGGAAAAAGGAGACATATGTAAAGCTTTATAAAATAAAGTTTCTATTACAGTTTAGAAAATTATATATATATATATATATATATATATATATATATATATATATATATATAACAGTTTTTTTTTTAAAAAAAAAAGATCCTAAAGGGTCTTTTCTGACATTTAGAAAAGTGATAATTCCTGAAACTCTGAGAGAACAGACTGTTCTCCAAATTAGCATTTTTCAAGTATGATCTATGGACTTTCTGCCTGAGCCACCTGTAATTTTTGTTTATAAGGCAATTTGCTGGGCCTCACCCCATATCTAGTTAACCAGACCCTCAGGTAGTCAGACAAAGAATGTAATTTTTAGTAATTTCCCCTAGGTAATTCTCATCTACAATGAAGGTTGAGAATCACTATCACTGTTAGAGAAATCCTTCTGAACCCATGGGAATATAGAAGGGGAAGCATTAGAGTTGTCCCTCTTTTAGGAGGGAGAATGGTATCAAGAAGTACACCAGCTCTATAGTGAGTTAGGGTAGGGCCAAAGTTAATATCCTAAGTCTTGTCTTGCAATTTAATATCCTTGTTCCCAAATAACAGGGCAATAAGGAAAGAGAGGAGTAAATTGGAACCTCTCTGTTTGAGCTTGAGGAAAGCTGTGAATTACTTGAGAGAAGAAGAGCAATTTTAGATACCTGAAACCAGTAGGCCATCCCCAAACCTCTCTTGAGCCAGTTGTTTCACCTCTTCCTCCATCTCTTCCTCTACCCTGGCCTGGACTGGAACTATAATGAATTGATTCAACTAAGCTTTAGCATCTCCCCTCAGAGTATGAAACAAAGGAATAACCCAAAGGCATCAAGAAGATGAAGAGAGGCGTGCAGCTGAATCAATCAGTCCTTCAATATCAGTGGGGGCTGAAGTTGTTTTTATGGAGCCAGTTGGCTTTTTCAGAGTGCCAGGTCTTGATCTGTTCAGAGTTTTTTCATTCAGGCTGAAGGTAATACATGACTTCTAGCCTTGGCCTTGCAAACTGAGAAAGGTTGCATCATGTGCTAGTTAACACCCTGGGCTGCTAGCATAGTTTCTGCAGGTGGACGGGTAGGAGTAGCCTCTGAGCCACTTTTTCTTGTGTGATCTCAATTGCCAACCTCAGTCTTATAAGCCCAAATATAGCACTCCTAATAATCTTATATTCAAATTCCCAATCAAGATCCAAAATTGCTTCTGTTCAGATATTTAAGGCTGTTGGTTTGCTCATTCCCTGGAAAGCCTTCTCCAGGGAGTTTGAGGAACAAATAAACCCAAGGGGACAGAATCACCTTTTACTCCTTTGAGACCTTGGTTTCCTTTTGGACCTCGTTCTCCCCGGAGACCAGGAAATCCTGGCTCTGTGCTTTGTAGGGTTCCAGGCTCAAATGCTGGACCTTCAGAAAAAAAAAGAAACATAAAACATTGGCACCTTACATGAGCCTGGGCTCATTTGACTCAGCACAACAGCTCAGTCACCAAGGCTTGGGTTCTCAAGACTCAAAAAATGAGATTAAAAAAAAATCCAAGACAGGGACCTAAAGTCTACAGTAATTCCATCTTCTGTTGGCTTGATTAACTCTACTACTAGTTATAAAATGTCTACCAAGTTCTAGGCACTGGACCACATACTAGGAATACGGAATTGTAGAAAGCAGTTTCAGTAACTCAGCAGTCCCAATGTCTATTCCAGGGAGGGCTCTTAGGACAAAAGAGGAAATGGGTGCAAGCTGCAGTGGTCATGGGCTTTAGGTCTCAAAGAAACATGCTGGGCATATTTCCATCCTTTCTCTTAGAATCTAGAATCCCATACTCAAGTATAAGACCTACAGAGAATAAGCCCTATGGAGGCTTTTAGCAGCCTCCTTGAGATTCAAGCTTGGCTTCCCATATCTCAGGCCCTCAGTCCACCCTTGAGGACAAGGAAAAGTTTGAAAGAGCCAATGTTTCTTCTTTGGGAGCTGCAAGATCAGAGGCCTAGGGACTGAGAACAATGAACAGTAAATGAGTACAATGATGTTTCATCATCAAGGTGGCCCAAGTTTGCTTGTTCCTTGATGAACATTGTGACTGCTGTGGTTGCTAACTTGTAAAAGCAAGGCTCTGACTCAGAAAGAATGGGGCCTTCACCACTGCTGCTCTGTAGTTATCATGTGTCCTGGCTTAGCTACTACACCTGTGCAATGCTCCCTCCCTCAAATGTCATGACTGTTTTGCAGTCTGGATCACACCTGAGTCGCAAGAACAAAGAGAGAAATGAACAACTTACCAGGTGAGCCTGGTAGGCCTGGTAGACCTGGTGGGCCTGGCAAACCATCTTTGCCAGGAAGGCCAGCTGCCCCAACTGTGGTTTGGCCTGGGTTTCCTTTGTTCCCTTTCAGGCCTGGAACTCCCTGCGGCCCTGGGTCACCTGACACACCTGGAAAAATAAGCCCACACAAAAATACTAATCACATCATCCCACTTACTCTTCGGGGGTATTCTACTCAGTGGCATACATTGGAAACTAAACTACAAGGGAAGAATTTGGGAAAGCATTTGCCCTTCTCTTACATCAAAGTTAGAAAAGTCCTTGGGAATCTCCTAACCTAACCTCTTGAGAAATTAAGGCCCAATGACATGAGACAAATTGGTCAGGGTGCAGAGCTTCTTAGTGGCAAACCTCAGAGGGAAACCTGGGTCTCTAGCTTCTCATTTTTTGATTTTTTTCCAGTTTGGTTCTGCAGTCAGCTGTACTTCTTCCAAGTGGCTGCTTTAAAAGCACAGGAATCTTTATAGAAGCTCATTCCAAGGAATTTAGAAACTGGTACCTTTAAAATAATGTCTGAGCCCCAGCCGGGTGGCTTGGTTACTTGGAGCATTGTCCTGTACACCAAAAAGGTTGAAGGTTAGATTCCTGGTCAGGGTGCATACCTAGGTTATAGGTTTGATCACTGGTCGGGGCTCTCACATCGAAGTTTCTCTCTCTCTCTCTCTCGCTCTCTCGCTCTCTCTCTCTCTCTCTCATCAATAAACATATCCTTGGGTGAGGATTTAAGATAAAATAAATACAAGTAATGTCTGAGTATATTTGGGACATAATTGCCTCCCAGACTCTGGCATGCCCTTTCTATTTTTGTTACTATAGAATGCCATAGAGGTATGCCTCTCAAGTGATTGCTTTATGGGTACTTTCCATAGGATGCTGGGGCTAATTATGCACAGAGCGAGGGTCTCGATACCAACTTTCCTCTGAGCTTTTGTTAGGGCCTTCTGTTAAGCATCAACTGGATGGCACATTCTTAGAAAAATGACAGGGCTCCAGCAGTCCAACCCAGGTTTCTATAGCTGCTGCAAACCTCAATGACAGTCTGGATTGCCTATTTAGCTATAACACATTATTGAGGCCAAAGGAAAGTTGTCCACCCAAGCTTACTCCTCATATACATTAGCCTTGGCTGGCAGTGAGAACCTAACTGACTAGTTAACCTTTCCTTTGACTTTGGCTAGGTGTGTACTAGACCAGAGATATAGAAGGGGATACTGGACATCAGAGTAGAGAGATAACTGATCTGTGTAGGAGGTGGGTTAATTTGTTTCACCTGGTAAAGCTGGTAATCCGGGGATGCCAGAAGAGCCAGGCAGGCCCTGGATGCCTTCATCACCTTTAAGTCCTGGGAGTCCTGGAATACCAGGGTCTCCAGGATAACCTGGCATTACAATGAAATAAAAAAAGAAGTAAGCAAACCCAGAAGACACTCACAAATGCCACAAAATGCCTAAGAAAAGATGCAAGGAGATGTCTTCAGGTAGAGGTGCCTTTCTTGTCCTTCATAGGTCTCTCCCAGATGCTAATGCCCTCATATGATAGTGGGTCTACTTGAACTAAGACTCCACTAGTGTTCAGAAATGCTCTGGCCAGAGTTTGCCTCCCATGGTAAGATCTGGCAAGTACTATGAAGTTCCTACTACTATTAGTAATCTGATATAATGCCTCAAATGTCTACCATTTGGGTTAAGGGGTTGAAGTCTACTGGTATTTTTCATGTTATACACATAGGTTTTTTGGGAGAAGACCAGAGGAAGACACTGTCAACTGTTAATGTCTCAGCTTCAATGGGTTTACCAGACAGAGCTTGAGCTTGAGAGGATGAGGGGAGAAAGATAAGTTAGGAGACCCAGGTTGAAGAGACACAATAGTAGAAGCCTTTGATCAAGCAAGAAGTAGCTGGAGAGAGTGGGCATCTGGATCTTTGGAGAAGGCAAAGGGAAGAGTTAGGCACACACAGTAACTAGAAAAAAGAGAGGTGAAGACAAACTTTCAAAGCATCATTCTGTTAACCAGTTGCTCCCCCAAGGATACATTTTTATTTCCAATGAAACTGTCAAGCTCAAGCATGCATGGGATCATGTAGCTGAGACCTGAGTGTCCCATAGTATCAGGCTTGAAGTCAGCCTAGCTGGGGAGGATATCAATCCTTCCCTAAGCATCACTAGAATAACCATTTTTCTCAAACCCAGGCCCAAGCTAACTCAAACCCTAGCCTTGGTAGACCCAACACAAAAATGCAGTAGGTTTTGGCTTGTTTCCCCAAGACATTGGAGTTAGCTTCACTCCCCAAGTTCAGGACCCAGGAGGAGCCCTTGGAAGTGTTGAGTTTAGCAGCAATCCAATGGCTGACAAAATAATCTTTAAATAATTATAAGGGATATAGAATTTAACTCCCTGTCTTTTCTTCTATGCTCAAATCAATGAAAAATTGCACCTGAGATCACAGCACCATCTGTATCGATGTAAACATCTGGGCCTGGCAGGCCAACACCACCCTTTTCTCCCTGCAAGGATTAAATACATTAAATACGAATATTTGTGACCTCATCACCTAAGACCTATGTGCCCTCAAATCCATTCCCCAGAAAAGTTCCTCCTTCTGCAACCCCTGATTTCCAGGGTCAACTAGTCCATAGGTTAATTTCAAAGTCCTATCAATTTAAGTTGAAGGCAACACAAGTCAGGTCAGAAGTCTGATACTCAATTGCAACCCTGTCAAGAAAAGGGATCCCAATTTCATTTTGCAACCTGACTCTAGGAAAACCTGCTCTGGGCCTGGAAAATATATCATAGAAATAGATAACATGGCTGCACCCAAGAGATGCCAAGGGGGGAAGCAGTGTTTCAACATTTTCCTCACTCTCAGCAGGCCTGGGACTTTGCTATTGTCACTGCTCTTGTTAGTGAATGTCAGGCAGAAGAAGTCAAAGGAGTCTTAATTGTCCCCCAAAAGGGACTCAGATACCATAATCAGATACAGTGGCATATTTAGAGGGGGGTGGTGGGAATTCTCTGTCCTACGTGCAGGCAATAAGGGAATGCATTGTCAGTAGAGAATTTAAGAACAATAATAAAACTGAAAAGTTGGCAATTCTAAGCAATGTCAATAAAAAAATATTCCTCCTTGAAAGAATGGATTTGCTACCACGTTCCCCTCCCCATTTAGTCTACCATTTATCAAGTAGTATTAAATAATTCTCATCAGCTTTGTGTATTAAAGTAGGATGTATGCATTTCATGTGAAAAGGATGACATCTAAAATGTTAAAATACTTTAAAAATACTTTATTTCATATGTAGGCTTTTGCTATGGTCTGAATGTGTCCGTCCCCCCCCCCCCCCAAATTAATGTTGAAAACCTAATGCCCAAGGTGATTGTAATTGGAGGTGGGTCATGAGGGCAGAGCTGCCCCAATTGGGATCAGTGCCATTATATAAAAGGTCCAATAGAGCTATCTCGCTCTTTCCATCATATGAGGACACAGGGAAATATAGGTAGTTTGCAAGCTGGAAGGGGGCCTTCACTGGAACTCAACCATACTGGCACCCTGATCCCAGACTTCTAGTCTCCAGAACTGCGAGCAATAAATTTCTGCTGTCTATAAGCTACCCAATCTGTGATATTTTGTTATAGTAGCCTGAATGGACTAAACAGCATTTTTGGCAATTCTTCACTCTTCCTTCTCCCCAATCCTGGATTTTTACTTCCCAACAACATTACCTTAATTCCTGGCAATCCATTAAGCCCGAGGAAACCTGAGGACCCCTTCTTGCCCTGTGACAGAACATAGTTACAGCTAAGTTGAATGTCTACATAATGATGTTTGGATTAGGCCAGTGCAAATGGCACAGGGACATTGGCTGGCATTCAAGGGTATGTATGGATCCTACCTGACTCTGTAATCTGTTACAGAAGGCCATGGCACACTAGTAGCCAACTTGCATGCTTGGAGGTACAAGGGCCAAAAGGCTAGAGGTGAATATAAGCAGGCTGGCCTTGCTAAGCACTGATAACATGCTAAAGAAGTATGACCACATCATATAGCATGACATGGCATGGCACCAAACTTGACATCTTCTTGGTTGCAAACAAAAGAAGAGAGTAGTTGAGTTTATACCAATTAAAGGGAGGTGAAAAATTTGCATTATAAGCAATGTCTCCCTTTGGATTGATGGTCATGTTAAGAAAAGTGATGGGACCTTTTGCTTCAGATTTTATACACCAAGGCTTTAATAATATTAACCAAAATACCTGACTCCCTGTCGGTCCTTGGACTCCTTCTAAACCCATGGGACCCTGTAAAGAGAAAAAAAGGCACCTGAGAAAGATTAATAGCTCACACTAGAAAAAGCCACTAGATTTACATAACAAAGCTATCCAACTGAGTTCAGGGTTTAACAGCTCCTAAAATCAGGTAAGAGAATGTTCCTAGACCTGGCTTAATGACTTCTTTCTAACTACTAATCCATCAGGTTGAATAGCCACCACACAGAGCATTTTTAAAGAGCTAAATAAATGGAAACATTTTAAGCACTAGGTGGAATTTGGTAAAAGGGCTGGGTGGTATTATACTTAGTCTGCATTAGCCTCAAGTCATGAAATGTTTAAATATATTGTGGGAGGGCCACTTGTCTCTCACTCCAAATGCATAATTTGTTGGTGATTGTGCCTTTTCTAGACAAGGGAGTAGGGAAAAGAAGAGAAAGAGAAAGAAATGGCAGGGTAATGGATGAACATTGCTGAAAATTCAAAAGACTAACAAGCTTCATGATGAAGCTAAAACACAATTCTCTAAAGTGTTACTTCTTTAAGGCTAAGGTTGACCATTTGCTTACAGTGTAAGACCCAAGTGTGTGAAATTATTTTTCCTCTTGAAGTGAAATTATTATTGGAAACTGTTGACTCAAAACATCACCACAATCTAGAACTTCTCAGGCTTGTTTCTGTTCTATAAAAATTGCACTTGGCCCTCTTTCTTCCATTTCTGCATCCCCCAACTCTCACCCTTGCCCATATTCCCACAGGATAGAATGGAATGAAAGCAAGACAACAGTCACATAATTCTTTAGCCCAGAAGGTAGTTATACATGGGAGCAAGGGGAGTAAATAGTCTGAGTAGTCACCTGTATAGGGGTACATCATTCTTTATTCAAAGGAACCATTACTTCAAGGGAATGGGTAAAAGTGGAGAGAAGGTAATCTTAGGGGCCTGCCAGAAGGCTGAGGAAGAGAAAGAAAAGCTTAAGTGGCCCTAGCTGGTTTGGCTCAGTGTACTGAAGGGACCTGGGTTCAATTCTGGTCAAGGCATGTACCTAGGTTGCAGTCTTGATCCCCGACCCTGGTTGGAACGCATGTGGAAGGCAATGAGTCAATGTATTTGTCTCACATCGATGTTTCTCTGTGTCTCTTCCCCTCCCTTCCACTCTCTCTAAAAATCTATGGAAAAATATCCTCGGGTGAGGATTAACAAAAAAAAGTGTCTAAAACAAAAACTAATAAAATAATTATTAAAAAAAGAAAAGCTTAAGTGGCCATAAAGTTACATAACATAAATTTGAAAATAGAAAATAAAATAGACCAGGTGACTTAACAGACCCAGGCAAGCAACATTCCAGGTTCCTACCCTACCTACCCTAGGTCCTGGCAAACCAGGGATGCCTTTTTCTCCTTTTTCTCCTGCAGTTCCAAATCCCTAAAGGGAAAAAGAAACCATAAGTTATAACATTCATTTCCTCATAGGTCTTCTGGTTCCATCCAAAGCACAGTGGTAATTTCAAACCATCTCCATTGCTCCACTGGGGAGGCTCACAATGCTGAGTCTCCTGTCACTTTTTGAGAAGCACATAGGACCTGAATATAATTTGGACCATTCATTCAAGGTTACATTTTGGTTCTAGAAGTAATGTCTTCTCCCTCAAACAATATTGCATATATTTATAGTAACATGGACTAACAGCATAGAAATGATAAAATATCTAATCCCATTGATTTTTCAGATGGGGAGAATAACACTCAGAAGGGCTAAGCATCTTTATGGGTTACAGAATCAGAAAGCCGGGTTGTCAGACTTCCATTCCAGGACCCTTTCCATGAGAATAGGCTTCCTTCCACCATCCAGGAATTTGGTTTTTTTTTTGACCCTCAAATGTTAATTCTTGGTGGTCAATACTAGAGGAGATATGATGATTACAATATCCTTCTCAGTGGGAAGTCTTTCTATCTTGGTGTGGTCTAGAGTCCTGCAGACCCTAGGACAGTGATGGTGAACCTATGACACGTGTGTCAGAGGTGTCACACGAACTCATTTTTTTGGTTGGTTTTTCTTTGTTAAATGGCATTTAAACATATAAAATAAATATCAAAAATATAAATCTTTGTTTTACTATGGTTGAAAATATCAAAAAATTTCTATATGTGACACGGCACCAGAGTTAAATTAGGGTTTTTCAAAATGCTGACATGCTGAGCTCAAAATGTTCACCATCACTGCCCTAGGAGCACTCCAAATGGGGACTGTGACATGGTTTCCAATCCCTCTTGCCCTGCTTACAAGAGATGAGGGCTTACAGCCATGGGCATGACTGGAGGATTCTCTATGAAGAGGCAGAAATCCAAAAAAAGCAGAGTGAGAAAGAGCTTCCTCTGCTCTGAGTCTAAGCAGTGGTTCTCAACCTTCCTAATGCCGCGACCCTTTAATACAGTTCCTCATGTTGTGGTGACCCCCAACCATAAAATTATTTTCGTTGCTACTTCATAACTGTAATTTTGCTACTGTTATGAATTGTAATGTAAATATCTGATATGCAGGATGTATTTTCAGGGGTCGCGACCCACAGGTTGAGAACCTCTGAGAGGCAAGAACATTCTGGACCCCAAGATACAGAAGAGTTCATTATATAAGTGGATAAAGACTTTCCCAGCAAACTGAATCAAAGCCATTTGTTACTGCTTAAAATTGGATGTTCTGGAGAATAGATTTTGGCAAACAACATTTAAGCCTATTATGAGAGTAAAGGAGGCAGTGAAGCTTTCTTACATGTAAGCTTGTAAAAGACACTAAGTGTTGTGGCACATTACCTGTTGTCCTCCTGTTGTGACCTGGCTCAACTGGTTGAGAAGGCACTGTACAAATCCTGTTTATAGTTTTCCTCCTCTTATGTAGTGAGAGTATTCCCATGGGTACTGACAACAGCTGAATAGCCCTTAGCTTTCTAGGCCCAAGGTTTTTTTGTTGTTTTGTTTTTTAATGTGGATTGTTTTGTTGTGTTTTTATTGGTGGAGTGTGTGTCTGAGAATGGTCTGATTCAAAGCAGGCTTTGGTTTCTATTTGCCTTTCTCTTCATCTGCAGTTGTGTGTCAAATAGCTCAGACTGCATGCTGAATAGGATTTCTATTCAGAAGGCTTGCAGGTCAAACTGAATGCAAACTTATTTGAAATCTCAGTTCTGGATCTCAAATTGGAAACCAATGCATGCTGCCACCTGGTGGAATGTGTGTATTGGCCTCTGAAGTGAAGTACTTCATGCAATGTTCTCTGTCCTGTCCATGGAAGCTATGGCAGCTCAGGCTGCCCCAAACTCTAAAAGCACTAAGATGGGTCTTATAATTGACAAGCAGAAGGATGATATCACACTCACTTCTGTCTCCTCCAAGGCACATTACTGCAGGCTGAATGCATACAAGGCCCCATACATACTTGTTGAATTAAATGGAATAATTGCCCAGAGGACAAAACTATTTCAAAGGGTGAAGGAATGTCTAGGAACTGTCTTGTGCCCCCCATACACATATTTTGCCACAGTTGTAAAGACAAGGGGGCCTTGTCTTCCTTCTTCCTGTGGTCTACAAATCTGTTTCTCAGAGAGAAGGTCTGAGAATTTGCACAACAATGTGAAAAAAATAAATACATAAGTTTAAAAAGGAAAAAAAAGTAATCTTTGAGTGTGTGTTAAAGCCAATACAAAATAGATGACTTGGCAAGATATTGGGCTGTAGGCTCAGCTTGTCTCCAGCACAGGGAGGCACCATACAGGGCCCTGCTGAACAAGCTGTTCTAGCAAAATGTCCTAGGACCATCTAGTCCTTACAGGTATGCTCTCCAGGGCCCTGATATACTGGTATTTTTGGTTTAAGGATATTAGTCAATTTTAGTCACTTGGCCAGAAATAAGGGGGAATGACATAGTCACTGGGTCAGGGTGGGGAGGATGGTGAAAAAAAAAAGGCAAGCTGACTTACAAAATTAGTCACAGTGATATAAAGTACAACACAGGAAATATAGTCAATAATAAAAATATGCATGGTGACAGATGGTTCCTAGACTTATGGTGGTGATCACTTTTCTAAGGTATACACACATCTAACCACTGTTGTACACCTGTAACTAATGTAATATTGTATGTGAACTTAATTTAAAATTAGATATAAAAATAAAAGTTAAAAATGGGTACAGTAAAAAAGAAAACAAAGAAAAGAAACAAGCAAGGTACAAACACTAGGCTGGAACCAAGAGGTGTCAGAACCCACTGCCCAGTGAGAGACACTGTGGCCATGGTCTTCAGAGACATGCTCCCCTGAGAGGGAGGCCACCATGCAGTCACACTCTGCTTGAGCTTCTCCCTCAACCCAATGACTTCCTAGGGCCCCAGTAAAGGCAGTGGAGATGGCTAGACACCCCTCCACAGCAAGGGTGGCTTCTCTAATGGGAAGGCAGGAGGGAGGCTGAAGCATGATAAGGGGGTGGGAGGTCATGGGGGAGGATCAGGGTGGGATTTGTGGCAATATTTTAGAACCTAAACTGCAGAAATCTGTTCTGGTTGGCATTTGATGGCAACTTGAGATTTGAAACTTGAGAGGTTAGGAAAGTGGTCTCCTTCTCAACTCTGTCCATGTCACACTGCTGCTATTCACCATCAGGGCACCAGGGCCCAGGGCCTAGCTTAAGTCTGGCAAGCTGGGTCTTCATCTTCAAAGGACCCACTTGAAGTGCCTGGAAAACGTGGTGCACAATTGAAGGAGAACACCGCCTGCCCAGTAGCTGCCTCAGGTCCACTCAATAGGTACCTCAGGATTTGCCAGGTTCTTCTCTCTCTCCTCATCTTTTCTATTTTGCCCTACCCTGTGTTTGCCAGTTCCTTGGACAGACAACACACAGGTGCATGATTCCAACAATCTTCATGGGAGTATCTGTGGTCTATAAGTCTGAGTATGCTCCTGGAGACAATGGGGTGAAATGTGTGAAGCTGAGACTGAGCCAAAAATCAGGGATATTTGGTCACTGCAAAGGGTGCAAGAGAAAGAAGGCATACATAATATAGGGCTGGCTACTTGTTAGCAATTGCTGCAAATATTTAGGCTCATATGAAAGGGAAACAAATTGTTAAAGAGAACAATTTGGATTCCCTAAAGATTCCATTCTCAGCTCTGCCTTGAGTGGATAATTGAAAGTTTATGTGAGGGGTTTGGATTTCAAAGTGTGTTTCCTCTGAAAAGCCCAAAGTATCTCAAACATGTTACCACCTTTCTTCTCACAAATTTTCTGTCATAAGACACAGAAGGTACCTATGAATGTTCTCATTAAGCAGGTAGAGATGTTAGGAGTGAAGAAATTACATGATTTGGCAAGTTTTCATATCAAATCTATTCCGAAGTGGGCTGAAAACTCTGATTTCCAACATCTGAAAATATGCTGTGTTATATAAAGAGAGGCATTTTTCAGCTTGGGATGTATTTACAATCAACTGGAGTTTCTATTTTTCAGCCCACATTGTGAAACACTGGAAATGCTGAGCTTCAAACGGTATTGCAATCTATCACCCTGCATTGTTGTCAGCCAGTCTCTTTTTATTTTACAGGACAAAAGGGAACACGGTGAAAATGCAGCAGGGGGAATTATTTGAGGTAGACCCTGGAAGAGAATGAGAGGGAGGGAGGGAGAGTGAGCCTGTAAATCCAGTCACACCAAAGTTCCACCACCATAATGACAAGAATGAACTGGACTGTAGGGGGCAGTGTGGTATGGGGAAAAAGTTCTGAATTGGATAGAAGTAAAGAAAGCTGAATATCTGTCTCAGTTCTGCTAATAATTTGCTGTGTGACTCTGGACAATCAATCCTTTTCATCCGTTCAGCCCATGGTTTCCTCATCAACACAAGGAGATAAGCCCAGCCCACCTTGCATACCTCACAGGCATCACTGGAGGTGACTGAAATCTATGTGAAATGTTCACAAAGGAAGGTGCAAACCTTTTTCCCTAGCACACTTGCAAAGCACTTTATATCTGTGCTGTCCAATTGAAATATAATGTGAGCTACTGTTATTTTAATTTTTTTGTAGTCACCTTAAGAACGTAAAATAAATAGGAGACGTAAAATAATATACGTAAAATAATATCTGATGATTATATTGTCATTATGCTTTTAAAAAGCCCTTATCTCTTAGAAATGCTGAGGTGTTAATTTAATAACATTTTATTTAACAAAATATATGGTAAATATTGTCATTTCAACACTGAAGTAAAAATTGTTAATGGGACATCTTAGATTTTTTCTCATACCCAGTTTTTAAAATCTGGTGTGTATTTCACACTTATGGCACATCTCATTTCAGACTAACCACATTTCAAGAGCTCAGTAGCCATATGTGGCTAGTGGTATCATTTTGAACAGCACAATTTCATACTTTGCAAATAAACTCTACATTGAGAGGTGGGCCTCATTGAGAGTATGTCCATTGCTATATTACAGATATACAGAGAGCTTCAGAGACTTGAAAAAGTCCCCAAACTGGAGCTGAGTCTTAAGCCCAGGTGTCTTGTCTCCAACAGTAGGGTTCTCTTCCTTTCTGATTCATTAGATGCTGAGCTGATTATAATCAAAGACACTGAACACATGATTCTCTGCTCTCCTGTGTTTCTACAGAATAACAGGATCATCATGGAAACAACCTGTGCCACTGGCTCTACTGGCTCTGTTTTCTGGCCACCCAGAGAGACACAGTGTTTCAAAAATCTGTAGAGAAGCACTACAGTCATCCATCCCCACTTTGCCAGCAAGCAGTCATGTTCATTCATCTTTGATTCATCCATTTCCCTCCCTACCCCTTCATCTAACCCATGAAAACCTTGTCAACTTCTCCTTCAAAATACATCTTATGAATTAAGAGCCATATCAACCAGATGTAATATGTGGGCCTCATTTGGATTCTAATTCCAGTGAGGCAATTATAAATAATATATTTATGAGACAATCACAAATCTGAATTCTTTCCTTTAACTGATATTAAGCAATTACTAATACTTAATATCTGATGATTATATTGTCATTATGCTTTTAAAAAGCCCTTATCTCTTGGAAATGTTGAGGTATTTATGATGAAATAATATGTCTGTTATTTGCTTCAGATTGGCTATGAGTTGGCAATTATTGACATTTGTACCATTATGCCATTCTCTCTACTCTGTATATGTTTAAAATGTTCTATAATAAAATGTTTAGCCCTAGCTGGTTTGGCTCAGTGGATAGAGTGACAGCCTGTGGACTGAAGATTCCCGTGTTTGATTCTGGTCAAGGGCACATGCCTGGGTTATAGGCTCCATCCCCAGTAGGGGGCATGCAGGAGGCAGCAGATCAATGATTCTCTGTCATCATTGATGTTTCTATCTCTTTCTCCCTTCCTCTCTGAAGTCAATTTATACTAATCATAGAGGAATATGCAAATTGTCCAGGACGCTGTCACAGTAACAGTAAGGACCAAACAGCAGGCTGCATGGGGCGACAAGGCCGGCAGGGGGGTTAGTGAGGGACGACCAAATGACTGAACAGCAGGCTGCATGGGGTGACCAGGCCAGCGGGGGGACAGTTGGGGGGCGATCAGGCTGGTCGGGGGGCAGTTGGGGGTGACCAGGTCAGCAGGGGCAGCAGTAAGGGGCAACCATGCCTGCAGAAGGGGCAGTAAGGGGTGACCAGGCCAGCAAGAGGGCAGTTGGGGGCAACCAGGCTGGCAGAGGGGGGCAGTTGGGGGTGACCAGGCCATCAGGGGGGCAGTTAGGGATGATCAGGCAGGCAGGCAGGTGAACAGTTAGGAGCCAGCGTCTCGGATTGTGAGAGGGATGTCCGACTGCCAGTTTAGGCCCGATCCCTGGGATAGGGCCTAAACCAGCAGTTGGACATCCCCCCAGGGTTCCCGGGTTGGAGAGGGTGCAAGCTGGGCTGAGGAGGCTCCCCCCCACACACACATACATGAATTTTGTGTACCAGGCCTTTGGTAAAAATATATTTTTGAAAAGTGTAAACTTTTTACATTTTGAATGCATGTACTTTCCATTTTCATTGTTATTATCCTAGTCGAAGCCACTGGACTGCTGTAATAGCCTCTGTTTTCTGCTTCACTCTCCCCACTTTCTCCACTCCCCCATACCCTCTAACCAGAAGTCAAAGCCTCCTAATAGATTCCTGCTACATTTAACATAAAAGCCATATTTGACCGATAAAAGTCTCCATGATCTAGATCAGCGGTTCTCAACCTGTGGGTCTCGACCCCTTTGGGGGTCAAACGACCCTTTCACAGGGGTCGCCTAAGACCATCGAAAACACATATATAATTACATATTGTTTTTGTGATAATCACTATGCTTTAATTATGTTCAATTTGTAACAATGAAAATACATCCTGCATATCAGATATTTACATTACGATTCATAACAGTAGCAAAATTACAGCTATGAAGTAGCAACGAAAATAATTTTATGGTTGGGGGTCACCACAACATGAGGAAATGTATTAAAGGGTCGCGGCATTAGGAAGGTTGAGAACCACTGATCTAGATCCTTCCTCTCTGCCTTCTAATGCCTGGTTCTTGACCTTGCTCACTCTGCTTCCATCCATTCAACTTGTTGTTCCTCAAAAGCTCTGAGCTTTTTCCAAACTTAGGGTCTTCATACTTATGGTTCCCTCAGCCAGAAACAATCTTCCTGATCTTCACATGTCTTGTTCCCTTATAATATGCATTTCCTCAGAGAGGCCTTTCTTGACCATTGTCCAAAGTAGCCTAACCCATTCCCAATCCACATTCCATCACTTTACTTTTTTTTAATCTTCTATGTATCCCTTACCATTTGTTTTCTTGTTTATTGTCTGTCTCTTCCCTCATTTTCCCACTAGAATGTACTTTCCTCAAGGACAGGGACTTTTAATTATTGAACTGTTATTACTCTTATAGCCTCAGAGTCCAGCAGAATGCCTAGCACATAGGGGCCCTCGAAAGGTTTTTTGAGTGAAAGATACAAAGGCAGATAAGAAAGTGAAGATAGGATTACTAAATTTAACTCCCATTTACTGAACAATTGATAAATGTCAGACATTTGCTAAGTCCTTTTCATTAAGTTAAAAAATTTGTCAAACCCTAGTGGATAGAGCATTGGCTTGTGGACCAAAGGATCCCGGGTTTGTCTCTGGTCAAGGGCACGTACCTCAGTTGCTGGCTCCTCTCTGGCCTGGGCCCTGGTCGGAGCTCATGCAGGAGGGAACCAATCAATGTGTTTCTCTCACGTTGGCATTTCTCTCTGTCTCTCCCCCTCTCTTTAAAAAATCAATGGAAAAATATCCTCAGGTGAGGATTAAAAAAAAAGAAAGAAAGAGAAAAAGAAACTTGTCCAACATCACATAGCTAGAATGTGGTGAAACCAGAAGTCAAGCCTAAGTATGTTTTAACTCTAGAACTTGAGCTAATAAACTCTAAGGTATAGAGTCTCATGAAGAGTCAGGATAATGTTCCCATGGGTTCAAGAAACAAAGAACATTTCAAATGGCCTGACTGGAGTGGCTTAGTGATTGAGCATCGACCTATGAACCCAAGAGGTCACTGTTTGATTCCCTGTCAGGGCACATGCCTGGGTTGTGGGCTTCATCGCCAGTGTGAGGCATACAGGAGGCAGCTGATCAGTGATTCTCTCTCATCATTGACGTTCCTATCTCTCTCTCCCTTCCTCTCTAAAATCAACAATAAAAATATATTTTTAAAAAAGAACATTTCAAATGCCTTCTAATAATGAAGATGGTGGAATTCTCTACAATAACCATAGGAAGAAGTCTTCCTGTTAGCCTTCTATTGCTACAGCTTTTGTCCAATCAAACACTATATAGATATTGACCAAATAAAGAGACTTACTGGAAATCCTGGAGGGCCACTTGTTCCTGGAGAACCCTGAAGCCCTGGTTCCCCCTGGAAAAATAAGCAAAGCTTAGTGAGTAGCAGCAGGAAGCAGTGAACTTAAAGGAGATGGCTCTCTTGAGCTACTTGGGCTGGGCTGTGGGAAACCAATGGGGTATCAGGATTGGGGCATCAAAGGGTGGTGCAAATTACAGACTGCAAAAAACCAATGGTTTTGGGGAAAGAGTAACAATTACATGCTAATTTTCCTATATGTGCCCTGGAAGGGCTCTCTAAAGTTTGGGAATAATCAGGAATGCAAGTAATCTTTCACATGTTTATAAACTGTTTCTAATCAATGGATACTTCCTATAAACCTGGAGGGAACCTGGAGCTATTGTTTGCACAAAGACAAACTTAAAGAAATGAGACTAAACATCTTCTCCTGGCTGGATGCATTGGCCAGAGGCACAGAATCATAAAACTTATGAAAACCCCAGGAAAGAAGGGAATGCAGATTACTGAAAAATATCTGGACAGTTTAACAGCATGTAACCATTCAAATACTAGTACACCCATATGCACACTCATTCATATCAAAATACAGAGTATAACACATATTGGCTAAACAGGTCTACAGCTTCAGCCTTGGTAGTTCAGATCAGGTAAATTAGGGCATCTACTGCCACATGTTGACAATATATCCTTTTTAGCATGCTCAAGTTTTAAGGGCAAATAACTTAAAAAAACATACTGCAACTCAAAGAGCAACAATTTATATCGTATGTGCTCTGTCACAGTCTTCGGGAACAACATAATATTGAGAAAGTTGGGAGTTAGGAGGAAAAACCCAACTCTTCAATATTTAAGTTATTTAGCATCTTGAAAATTGGATCTGCAAAAGTGAAACACAGAAAATAATCACTTAAATGAATACTCAGAAAACCAAGAACACTCATATCCACATACCAAAAGACAACCTTTTAAAAAGCCTTTCATGAGGGACAAAACAAAGAAGGCTTTAACTTCACTTTCAAACAAAAATCCATTGCCCAGGACCCACTGCCCTTCTAGTGTGGTCTGGTTATTTGAATTGAACTTTGGTATTAATAGGAAAAAGCTTATTAACTTTTCCTGTTCTTAAATATTCACTACCTTAGATCCTTTCTTCCCTTTGGGAAACCCCATGAATTCCAGTTCTCCAGTAGATGGCGGGGGTCCTGCAGGACCAGGGAGACCAACATCCCCCTGTAAGATCAAAAGGAACTTTAAGCAAAGCAGAACCACACAGACCATTTCTCTAGAGGGTAAGTTTGTCCTCTGTAGGTAACTCACAAATAAACTGTCCATTACTTTGGCCTCTTTACCCTCACCATTGTATCAATGAGGAAACAAAACTATCAGTGCCAAGGAGTGAGAAGAATTATAAGCCTGTCCAAATGCATTTTGTACCAGCAGTGCAGAAGAAGGAAGCAAAATAAAGGAAACTGCAGGTTCATGCTTGCCTGGTCATGCATAAGGGTGTTTAGAGGAGAGCAAAAAAGGGGTTTGAGCAAGGTGAATGGACACTTCTCTGCAACTGTGATCAGACTGTTATTGGTCTAATCCTTGTCAAAAGCACAAGCAGAGGCCGTGAAGCCCATGTTAGAACATTGGCGGCTGAATTTGCTCATTGGAGGCAGTGCAATCTACAAGAGGCACTCATGAAGGGGGAGAAAAACAAGCTTGTAGTCTCTCTTGAGGCTCCTAAATCATTATAGAGGTAAATAGGAGAATGAAGAAGGGGAGATACAAGAGAATGGTGAAAGCATGGCTAAGGAGGCAAGAGAGAGGAGATGAAGAGAGAGGAAGAGAAGAGGAAGCAAGAGGAGGAGGAGGGAAGAAGAAAAGAAGGAAGAAAAGGAAGGAAGGATATAAGAAGCCAAGAAAAGAAAAGAGTAGGTGGCACAGTACACAAATACCCCAGTGGAAGAGGTAATATATTTCAAGAAAGTATATTTGTAAGACATCCACACTTCACAGGTAGGAAACAAGAAGACTACAATAATTTAAAGGAGAAAGACCACAATATCCTATTTGTGGCATGTACACATGAAGCCCTCAAGAGACCTCATCAGAAGATCCATGTGGGGTGGAAAATGATCATTTCCCAAGGCAAAGATTCAAATCCCCTTACACAAGCAGGCACAAGGTTGTAGCCAGAGACATTTTTTTGGAGCACGTGGAATACAGATTGTATTTTGCGAAAATCTATTTACCTTGTCTCCTTTCTCTCCTTGGAAACCTAACCCCATATTCCCCTGGGGCAGGAGGCATAGGGAGGAAAAACAAAATCAATTACTAAACAAGTTCTGGGAACTTCTGTAGGAATGCAGTCTCTTTTTTTTTCCACCAGAAAGTGCATTTAATCAAACCAGAATATCTGGGGAAACATGATTACTTAATGGAAGGAGGCCAAATGTCCTAAGACACAGTATACTTACGTCAAGACCAGGGAGACCAGGGGGGCCTGGAGGACCCTATATTAAAGATGAAAAGAAACAGCACTTTTTAGTTTCAGACAAGAAGAATGTGGGCATGTTGAGAGTACTCCACCCATCTTGGTATAGCCTGGCATTGGTGAAGCAAACTCTAGCTCCCTCTCTCAAGGTTTCAATCTCCCAAATTGACCCAATAATCACATTCATGTTAAGATAGTGAAAGTTTCATGTGTCATTCTTCCCAATAGGCCAATTACTTTGGTGAAGGTAAACCAAAGTAATCAGTGGAAGGATTTTATGCACTGGAGAAAGAAAAATCCGGGCAGGGCTTTCCCAGAACCACACAGATGACTCGCTATGCTTTTCCTATGCCAGCTATGGTAAACAGGATTGGTATAAAAAAGAGAGAGGTAGGTAGAGCTTTCCAAGTTGCAGTGTTGAAAAGGATTTTGAAAATTCTTCTGTGCTCAGGGTAGGTGATGCTGGTGGTAGTATGATTAATTAGCAGCACCAGGGGAGTGGATGGTAACAATAGACATGCCAGGTATCTGCCATCTCTGGGCTATACTTTAGGTTGATCCAGACTAGGTGACTTTGGAAGCACAGAGTGAATAGTCATATTGATGCTAATAAATAAAGACAATACATAGCTCCTTATAAGAGCATACTTTCTTTTAATCCTCCAAGAATGGAGTTACCTTCTCTACTAGGAGAACCTACATTTACACAGGTGCACATTAAATCCATGGCCTAGTGCAGTGGTTCTCAACCTTCTGGCCCTTTAAATACAGTTCCTCATGTTGTGACCCAACCATAAAATTATTTTCGTTGCTACTTCATAACTGTAATGTTGCTACTGTTATGAATCATAATGTAAATATCTGATATGCAGGATGGTCTTAGGCGACCCCTGTGAAAGGGTCATTCGACTGCCAAAGGGGTCGCGACCCATAGGTTGAGAACCGCTGGCCTAGTGGCTAAAGCATTCATGTGAATGAATTCTATGATAACATGGTAGATTTAGTTACTTACTTGAAATCCTGGTGATCCTATAGGTCCTACAGCTCCTGGAGAGCCGGGTGTTCCTCGTGGGCCCTAGAGAGACAAGTTTTTACTAAGGTCATAAAAGCAACACAGTTTCTCAATGAAAATGAAAACATTTGCCCACAAAAACTGCACAAGAATGCTCATATCAACTTTATTCATAATGTCCTAGCCCATGGTTGGCAAACTGCGGCTCGTGAGCCACATGTGGCTCTTTGGCCCCTTGAGTGTAGCTCTTCCTAAGCCTTAGGAGTACCCTAATTAAATTAATAACAATGTACCTACTTATATAATTTAAGATTAAAAAATTTGTCTCTCAAAAGAAATTTCAATCTTTGTACTATTGATATTTGGCTCTGTTGACTAATGAGTTTGCCGACCACTGTCTAGGCGTCCACTGATACAAGAATTGATAAGTGAACTGCAATACATACAGTAAGATAAATAATAGTAAAATGTAACAAACTACTGATATATGAACCAATGTAAATGAATCTCAAAAACACTGTGCTAAGTGAAAAAAGTCTGACCCTAAAGGCTACATATTATATTATTCCCTTTATATGATGCCCTAGAATAGAAAAAAAAACTGATTTAGGATGCCTTTGGGCTGAGGTGGGGGCAGAAATTGACTAGAAAGGGACAGGAAAGAACTTTTGAAGGTGATGGGAATGTTTTATACCTTAAGAGGGTTTTGGGTTACACAAGGATATACATTTGTCAAAACTCATTATATGTACACTTAAGATTTGTGTATTTTATTATATGTAAATTTTACATAAAAAAAACTGTAAACAAATTTTGAAGTCTAGCTAATGATAGGCATGCAATTTACTTTAAAATGAGTAAATATGAGATAGATTGATGGATGGATAGAGATGGGTAGATAGATAGAAATGGGATAAAACAGGCATAGTAATATATTAATGGTTAGGATGTTCACTGCAAAATTCATCCAATTTTGCTGTATATTTGAAATTTTTCATATTAAAGTGATGTAAAAAAAAGGAAAATTTTAAAAAAGAATCAAAACAATTACATTAATATCAGGTAAACTAGAATTCATGGCAAATAATATTACCAGAGATAAGAGGGGGCATTTCATAATGATAAATAGGTCAATTAATCAAGAAGATATAATAATCTTTTATGTGCATGCATCTAATAGCAGAGCTTCAAAATATATGAAGCAAAAACTGACAGAAATAGACAAATCCACATTATAGTTGAAGATTTTAATATACTTCCCTCAGTAATTAATATAAGTTAGACAAAAATTATCAGTAAGAATATAGAAGATACAAAATATATTACCTTGACCTAATGTTTTTTTTTTTAGATCACTATACCCTAAACCAGCTGAATACATAATCTCTTCAAGTGCATATGGAAAGATAGTTCCATATTCCAGGCCATAAAACAAACCCCAACAAATTTAAAAAATACTGAAGTCATACAGAGTGTGCACTCTAACTGCAATGAAATCAACTGGAAATCAATAACAGGAAGATATCTCAAAAGTTGCCAAATGTTTGGAAGTTAAACAACACACATTTGAAAGGAAAAATCATAAGGGAAACTAGAAGATATTTTGACCTGAATGATAATAGTGATGAAATTAAAAATAAGACAATGAAATCTGAAGAGAAAGATGGTATGGGGAAATGTATGGCCTAATTAAAACTAGGAGCAGTAATAAGGTGATATGTGCTTAGGTAAGGGATGGAGAGGCCAAGTGAAATCAAGACTTAAATAGGTGGAAGAGAAACTAGGGATTTGAAGTTTCCCCAGGGATGTATGATAGTAGAATATTTCCTTGACAATCCTATATAATAAAGAGGTAATATGCAAATTGACCATCACTCCAACACACAAGATGGCTGCCCCCATGTGGTCAAAGATGGCCGCCCCCATGTGGACAGAAGATGGCCACCACAAGATG